CCAAGTCTCTGGGGAAGGATGAAATGATTTCAGACAGAATCTCACCCCACTTGGTGAGAATAACGCCTGGAGCTCCTTCCCTCTGTAACAGGTCTGGGCACATGTCGCAGCCAGAGAGGGTGCGAGGGGCGGGGGGACACCAGGACACTTTGGGAGATCTTGGGACCGACAGAGGAAAAGGTTCTGCAGCACCCCCAGCCAGGGGAGGGCAGGACCACGCTCAGCTGAATCACATCAGGCTGCTCCACGGTGCTATGAAATTCAAGTGAAAAGGGCACCTCATGCCCACTGGTCACAGCCTGGCTTCCTGCTGCCTGTGAGATGGGTGCCAGCCCCACTCCACACCCACTGCAGGGGCAGGTGGGGCAGCAGCCCCCATCCCTTCCCCTCCAGTGTGGGCATCCCATAAAGTTGGGGTGACTCCAGAGTGCCCTCAGGTCCCAGCATGCCTACACATTGCCACTGCAGGCTCTGAAACAGCCTGAACTACTGTGTGTTCAAACAGAAGTAGCACACCCCATGAAACCCCTCTGCCAAGGGTCTATCCCACACCAGGGAGTGGTTTGGGAGGGGCTCACAGGTACCAACTGAATTACTTCTGTGTTTTACCCTAAAAAGCTGTGGGCATTCACACAGATGCCAGCAGAGCTTTCCCTGGGCTTTGCCACATAGCAGGAGCTGACACATCCCACAGTGATGGCACAAAGAAGACAAACTTCCAGCAACATGGAAAGGGAGGAGATCAGGTTTCCCCATGATTTCTGATGCAAAACTTCAGGAATCTTTGGACCCGGCCCTCAGCATTCATTGGGAGATGGATGCTGAGGTCCCTAGAGGTGCTAAAGAACCATGGAGATGTGGCACCTGGGGACATGGTGGGGATGGGTTGATGGTTGGACTTGGTGACCTTAGAGGTCTTTTTCAAGATGTGGTGACCATCCTCAGCAATGCATCTCCAGCCCCCAAACCATCCCACTGAGGATAAACACACAGACAAGGGCTGCCTTTCAACTCACCACGTCAATTCTATCCCAGCTTTTCTCCTCCTCTATCCCAGCTTGATACCCCTCAGAACAAGTCCATTGGCCAAAAGACAACGCTTCGCCCCCCCTGGCCCTCTGGGATCAGCTGCCCCATCCCACAGCACACAGAGCATCGCACCCATGCACACCCTTGGGTTGAACTGCTGGCAGCCCCACGCTGTGCCTCTGGGCTCACTGTGCTTGGAGACAGAGTGGGATTTGTGCATAGCTGCACTCCAATATTTTAGAGAGAAATGTGGTGTGTGGCAGATGCTGCCAGGTACAGCAGAGCAGAGCATGCATCTTTGGGGCAGACAGATGTATTTAATCACCAGAAAGCTGTTACTATTTTATTCTCTACATCATTGAAGGGTCCCTGACATGAGCTTGAGAATCCCATCCACCGATTAGGGCACAGCATGGCAAAGGATACTTAATTTAAGCTCATATCTGAGCCAGCACCACCAGATCAGCATAGGTGCTCCATAGAATCACAGAACGGCCTGGATTGAAAAAGACCTTAAAGATGTTTCCTACATTCCAAACAAAGATGTTCACAGAAACCATTCAAACTTTGCAGAACAGATCATTTCTCCCCATGGCTCTGACACAGAACTCCACATGTTGGCTTCCAGAGGAAGGATTTCATGGCCACCCAACATACACACGTGCCTCGTTTGGAAACGAGGTTTTGGAAAAGTCACCAAGCACAGCAGAGAGCTCTCTGCTGCAGAAGGGCTGACTGCTCCTCACCAACCCATTCCAACATCTTCAGCTCACTGCCTGCATCACCGCACAGCCCCCCAGGACGGGTGCACGCCCAGCCCTGCTGAAATCCCTTCCCATCAGGCAGCACCTGCAGGGAGGACGCGCCAGCGCCGCACATTTCCATTTCTGTGTCACAACAACTAGAGCACGGTGACGCCGAGGCAGCTCCGGTCACGGATGCAACAGTTCCTCTGACAAATCCAACCCGTGTGCTGCCAGACCTCGCGTTACCCGGCGCTTTAATAGAGCCATTCGCTCCGCTCAGGGCGGCAGCTTCTCCCCGTTTCCCTCCAGGGAAGGGAGAGGCACGCGGAAGCACGCTGCTCAGCTGCATCCTCCCCGGTCCTCCTCCCACCCCACCCCCAAGGATACATCAAGATTCATCAATAGCAACAGAGTTTGAAATCACAGCCTCGGTGTGAAGCGCAAATCTTGCACGCAGCCCCCAGATCCGCGAGCGCTGCTGCTTTATTCTGAATAAGCACGAGCCCACGTTCCACGCCAGAACACTGAGAGTGCTGCTGCACGTGTGCTACCAGGCTGAGAACGAACAGCAAGATTGATTTGGACGCGAGCACCAGCAAAGCAAATGGCTTTTTGAAAACCCTATAATTTCTCTGCAACCCTTGACTTCACTAAACACACATTTTTAGACTACGGCACCGTTAGGTAGGCATTAAACAAAAATGAGCCGCACTAATGATGATTTATGTGCAGGATAACCTTCCATAAAGAATTTATCTTTGATTTCAGGGTAAGTTACAGCGTTGCCAAGTTAACCAAACCACGCGAGTCAGCACCAAAGTCCCTCCTGCAGCAGCGCGACGCAGACACGAGGCACTGCTCTGCCATTGTTTCAAGATCTCGCCCAAAATTAACCCAGTAGGAGCTCCTGAGGAGGCACACATGGAGGAACTGGAGGAGAGAAGTCAGGCAGAGCGCTCACAAAGCAGCACTGCACCGCTGGGAGCAGCACTAAAGGAGCACAGGGCACAGCAGCAGGAGAGCATGGGGATGAGCAGGAATTACTGCCCCCATTTCAAGGGGAGACCGTGGTTTGGTACAGCAAAGCCAGCACCAGCTCTAGCAAGAGCAATAAGAAATCAGCTCCAGGCAGATACTATATTTGTAATCCAACAGCAAAACACGCTTGCTTGTGTTGACTCCGCACTGTAACACAATTTGTATGTTCTGTCTTTAGGGTAATTATTGCTTTAGAATGTTAAAATTGTTCCACTCTAATTAAATCATCATATTAAAAAAAAAAAAAAAAAAAATCCACTGCAGCAGTGAGCAGGCCTGACTGAAATCATGTGTGTGCATGGGTGCTTGGGTGGGCAATGCACTGCTGTTGCTCACACAGAGCACAGACACTGCTCTGCTCCTGCAACTCCACTGCACAGCACAAGTCCATCAGAGCACCCAGCCATCCCCAGGGTCTCCAGCACCACTGGGAGCACCTGAAGCAGAAGAGCAGCACCAGAAGCCACTGTGCACCGAGCCAGCCCATCAGGGAACAGTGCTCCTCCTGAGCAACAACTGCTGCTGAAGGCATTTCCATGATGCTGCAAAACCTCCTGAAACACCAGAAAGATGCTTACAAAGGTTTGTATTCAAGAAGACTGTTTGCTAAACAAAAATCTCCCTTTCCAGGCTCAAGGCTGCTCAGACACAGAGCAGCTGCCCATCAACGAGCAGCATCCTTCCCAGCTCGTGCCCGGGGAAGACCATGGAGAGAGGAGTCTCATGCAATATTTCATCCTGAGACTGTCAGAAGTGGGTCAGTGCTGGGGAGGAGGGGCACTGGGCTGGAGCCCTGACCATGGCAGGGAGCTGGCTCCTTGCCCCAGCTCCACAGCCCAGCGTGGGCTTGGTGCCAGCACCAGGATTGGCACAGGGGTCGGTGGAGACGCGTGCCCTTGATGCTCCAGCACAGCTCCCAGGTGTCGCCTCACAGACCCTACAAAGCCCCAGCAGTGGAAGGAGTGCTGCCTCCCAATGTCCATCCCTATTCCAGCCATAGGGGAGCACTGAGCCAGCAGCTGGGCTGCACCTCGAGATGCCACCACAGCCCTCCGGAAGGCTGCTCATCCCCCTCCAGGTGAAGCACTCTGCTCCTTAAGCTCCTTAGGAAACAGCCCCGCAAGGCGGATTAGAGCAAATCCCCTCCCATGCACGATCAGCAGCTGGCACTGGGATGTCCCCTCAGCTGTCCCCTGCTGGTGGCAGCCCCTTGGCACAGCATAGCCTATGTGGCCTTGGGGGAGCAGCAGGACTTACTGACCTGTGAGCAAATATCAAGCACCGAGTGCTCACTTTGGGCAAAATCCTTTAATTCTTTCTGGATCCCCCGGGGAAAGAAGCATCGATTACTTTACTACCAGCTCACCCACACTGTGCTGGGCAGCCAGCACGGCCATCAATACAGCCAGGAAGGGAGCCAGGAGGTCACCCTGGCACACAGGGACACTGGTGGCCCCACACAGCACCTGCCACAGTCCTGTGCTGCTCCTGAGCCTGTGACAGCCTGGCAGAACCCAGCACAACATATCCAGCAGCATCCCCTGCTTACCACACCAAGCCTGGGAGGTTGTATCCCACCCAGGTAACCTGCTGGGCAGGACCCTGCTTTCAGAGCCTCCCTGCTCTCATAGGATATCAAAAGCCATGGGGAACTGCCCAAGGGTCCATGCAAAAGGTTGGGTGCTGCTGTCCCCCTGTGTCACACTGGTGGGGACACATCCTGCCAGGGTGGCCACGTGGCTGCTAGGTGCCAGGAGAAGAAAGAGATGCACAATGCCATTTTCAAATCAAGAAGCTGGAAAACTGACTCTGTGCCATTCAAAAACCAGGGAAACCAACCAGCTGCAGGTCAGGATGGAGACAGCATGGGACACCTGATGCTGACCCAGTGCGAGCTGCCACGCAGCCATGGGGGTGAGATGGCTCAGGCAGGCAGCAGGCACAGGGACAGGAGCCACGAGCTCAGCAATGTGCAGAGCATCACCATCCACAGCACCAGAGACAACAACACAGCACATCTGCTCACACCACCAGGCCTCTCCGGCGTGAAGCCACAGGATGGTCCCCGATAAAAGCCTTGGCTTTGGCAGCACCAAAAGCCAACCTCCACAAGAGCCAGCCCAACACGACCAAGCAGGTCAGGTACTCCAAGGAACACGGCGCTTCCCCAGCAGCTGTCTCTCTTACCTGGGATGATAGAAACGGTGTCTTTCTCCCAGGACACAACACTAACATATTCCTGCACTGAGGAGGGGATGAGGCACTTGAAGACAGCCACGTTTCCACGCATCGACCTTTGGTCCTCCACCCGGACGGTGTACGGCTCCCTGAAAACTGCAGAGGGGAGCAGATGGTTGGTGGCATGACAGCACTGGGTGGAAACCCACTTGGTTTTGCTTTAATCCTCCATCTCCCCCCCCCCAAAAAAAAACCCAACCCCCCACCTCGCTGGCTGTCAGGGCACCTTGCACTGCTGCTAGAGATCAGGAGCAGAATGGGTACATTGCTGGGTGCTGCTGGGTGACACCTCACACAGTCAGTAGCACAGGAGGTAGCAGCCACAGGTAAGCAGCCAGCTGAAGGACAGGCCCCACCTGCACCACTGCCCCCACAACTCCCTGCTATTGATGGGGTGAAGGGAAGCAACCTGCACAGAAAGGGACACCAGCACTGCAGCAGCTTAGTCACCCAAAGCCTCCTTAATCACATGGAGCGGGGGCTTATTCACAGGCTTTGAAGGCCAGCAGAGAGCATGGGGGCACCCAGCTGGGCTCTGCTCCCCGCACCCCAACCCCAGCCCCACAGCCCCTGCTGCTGCCAAGCTGCTTGTTCCCACAGTTTAAAATCAAGACCAGCATGTTTAGAGTTTTCCATTGGCCAGAGAGATTTACCCCCTGTGCTCACTACTAGGTTTGCTAAATCTTTTGAGAGTTTTCCCAATTCCTCATATTTTTAATTGGGTCTTACTTGCTTTCTTTATACAGCTGTCATTGGCTTTTCATGCTGCATGGCCATCACAAAGCAGAGAACACAAGATAGCCAAGTGGACACAAAGGTTTCAACCAATTTCAAGTGTTCCAGAGCTAAAGTGCTTGGAGCTACCACTGCTGAGGCCATCCTGGTGGCCCTGCTCATCGCCCTGCTGCACGCTGCCCACTGATTGCACCTGATAATAGGACAGATGTGGGCCCAGGGCAGCAAGGGAGCTCACAGAGCCCTGGCACAAGGAGGGGTCAGCTCCATGCAGCACAGCCACGTTTACTGCACCCCTACCTGCTGCTGTCCCTCCTCCACTAAGCTGTAGTTTATAGGTAACCTGCTAATGTTGGTAAATAATTCACTCCAGGAGGGGGGTTAATACCCATTTACTCTGCAGTACAAGGTATTAAAATAAAAAAACCCTGTAGTCACTTCTGTCATGTTCCCTCTGCTAGCCCCACTTTTAATAGGTTACATAATGAAGCCATTCCTGGGCTATTAGCCCTCCTCAGCCTGGTCAATAATTTACCATAACGGCTTTTGGAAGCAGCTCTTTGCCATATTCCTCCTTTTTTCTTTGCTTAATAAGCCTTGGCGTGCTTAGGCTGGATGCTCCAGTGGGAACAGAGCAGTCTGAGGGGGGCTGTGGGACATGGTGGGGCTCTGAGCTGCAGATGGATGTGTCCCAGGTCCTCCTGTACGCGATGGTTTACACTGCTTAAGGGAAGTGCAAGGATGCAGCCACACCATTGCTGCACCCAAACCACACGCCATGCCCATGCCCAGCCCTCCCCGTGCCAGCAGCAGACTTGCATCACACAGCTTGCTCTGAGCTCAGGCAGGACACAGCTCACAGACATATTGGCAGCTGCCTCCCGTTCATCCAACCCCTGCTCTCCGGCTGTGCAGCATCGATCAGCGCCCTCACAGCAGGGCAGCACAGCCCATGCTCAGCATTCCTCCGAGCACAGCAGCGTGCTGTCACCATCCCACACCAGGTGGGCAGGCCAGGAGATCTGAGAAAAGCCATCATTGCATCCAAGCCCCAAACCCCAGAGAGATCCTACCTGCTTTAACACGGATATTCGGGCTCCTGATTTTGCCAGCCGAGTTCTCCGCCGTGCAGAAGTAGTCGTTGTCGTGGATAAAGCTATTGAAGGCTGATGGCGAGAAGGGGTAGAGCTGCAAAGTCCCATTGGCATGGACATGCCGGATGTGGGGCACATCGTAGATGTCGTCACCTGTGGCCAAATACCACCGAAGGACGGCGCTGGGTGACCCCGCGGCCGGGCAGGGGATCACCACCCCCACTGTGCTGGAGAAGGTGACCTGCTGGATGGAGTCGTTCACAAAGTAGAGGCTGGTTCCAACATCTTCAGTGTGAGCTGCAGAGAAAGCAGAGTCTGAGGGTCACTGTGGATGGCAATGCTGCCCAGCAGTGTGACCACCCTGAACCCAGCCACGGAGCAGAGAGAGAACATCAGGGCAGGGGAAGCACAGTTCAGGAACTACGAGCATCTCACCACAACCAGATCCCCTACGCATGGGTGCTCCTCAGCCAGATGTGCAGCCTCAGATGTGCAGTGTGGGCTCTGCACAGATACACCATTACCTGGTGATGGGGGCTGTGCGTGCACTGGTGGCCCTGAGCTTGCACCAAAGCACAGCTCACACTGCCCAGAGCTGCCCAGGACACCGTGATCACTGCAGAAAAGCAAAGACAACCTCTCCACCCAGCATCCCCCTTGCCACTCCAGGACCACGAGCTCCCCTTTACCACCACAGCGAGCAAAGCTGCCTACAAATAAGGACGAGGCAGCCCCCAGTCACTCGGTTCCGTTTTTCTTTTTTTAGCCACACTTTTCTGCGTGGGCAGAAGGACACAGATATAGCAAGCAGCCCTTGGCGGTGTATTAATAGCTCTGCCTGGGAGCACCACTCGTGGTGCTGCAGAGCCAGCACAGAGCATGCCATGCTGCTGGCTCCAGAGAGCCGCTGGGGACCTCCCTGACCCCAATTCCTTCACCTGGGGAGGAGAGAACAGGAACAGGGGGGAGAACGTACACCAAGATCCACATCTGTGCCCACATCTTGCTCCACTCATTCTCAGCCAGATCAACAAGGGAAAGCCCAAACCCTTCCTGCACAGAGCCCTGTCCAGGTTCCTGTGCTCCCAGTGAGAGCACCCATGTCTTGCCCTGCACTGAACCATCATCTAAAACATACAAAATGACCAAGTTTCCCCCTTTTCCTACTCAGAGCCCCACAGTCTCACCAAGGCCAACTGCAGCTGTAGAATCATGAAGGTTGGAAAAGACCCTCCAATCATCAACCTGACCCCAAGTCTGCACCTACAGAGCTGCACCACAGAGCAACCAAAGGGATTGGCAGCCAGCAAGATCCAGCACTGTCACTGCACCCCAACCAGTGACATGCACCAGGGCACGATCACAGAATCACAGAATTGTAGGGGTTGGAAGGGACCTCCAGAGATCATCGAGTCCAAACCCAACCTGCACCCTGCCCAGCAGCAATGGGAGTGCAGCCGCAACCCTATGGGGAAGCATCCTCCTGTCTGGTGAGGGTTAGAGCTGGAAGGGCGAAGGGTGGGAGCAAAGAGTGGAAAAATACCTCGTAAACAGAAATTCAGATTACCCATGAAGCTTTTTCAGGTCAAAGGGGGAAACGGATTTTTAATAGAAAATGGAAGTTATGGGATTGGCAATAGTTATGTGACAGACGCATAGAGTTAAATCCAGATAATCTCCTTTACCATTTAGCATTGAGCACCATTCTAATTCCATGTTTCATAAAACTGTCTCCAAATCACTGAGGGAGATTAAAAATTTAGAAATAGTGCCGCAATATTTTTAAACCAGAAATCACTGCTCACATCTGGTCAGATGTGCTGACCCTAACCTAAATATCGAGGGCATTAATTCACGCGAGCTGGAGAAGAGGCAGCTACAGAGGAGCCCAAATGGAAACGTTTCGCCAGGGGAAGTGCAGTGAAGCAGGCACAGCACCAGACTGCTGGTTCCAGAGCTGCACAACGCCCTGCACGCAGCCGGACACTGCCTGGCTCACTCTGAGAGGCACGTATTTGAAGTCATCAAGGTGCAATCTTCTTAAATTGTAGTAAATTACAACCTAGAGGTATTGAAATATTAATATCTCTCACTGAGCTGGGAGAAGAGAGTCATTTTGCTATCATCCCGTAGGAATATTTACTAGCCTCCATGGCTGGACTTTCCAAACTCGACTCCCTCTGGAAGCACAGCCACTCTCAGCATTGCAGAGCCACACGCTGCACAAGAAGCACTCATTTACTCTAACGAGTGGCTGAGGTAGAGCAGCCATAAATTGACCCCAGGGTCTGTCAGCAGCCATGTGCTCTGGGAGGAGGCAGCTGAGGTGTAGGTGTGAGTCCTGCATGGAAGCAACATGCAGAAATGCCATCACCTCCCCAATGGCAGCCCAGCAAGGCAATGCTTCCTCGCCTCCAGACCTCACAGGGAAGAGCTGCTCCTGTCACATGAAGTGGGTTTAGGGCTATTTGCCACAACCAGGCACGTTGCTGCCATGCAAAGGGTTTGCAGCACCGTGGAGCAGGCAGCTGCTGCACTGCAAACCCACTGTACCCCACCAGCAGTATATTCCCAAGGCTTCCCCTCGGGCTCAGTGCTCCAGGTGCCTTCCAGGATCACCACCAGGCAAGCAGACGAGCTGGATGAGCCATGGGGGCTGCCCAGCCACCAGCTGTGACAGGCTCTGCCAGGAACAGCAGGCTAATCACCGCCTTGCCACTCATTTATTATCCTCATTAAGGGTGTTTGACACCTGCCCTGTTCAAGGAGAAAGTGAAGTGGGTGGGTGTAGAGGTAGGTAGCGTGGCCTGACCTTGCCTCCCTGCTATCAGGAGATGGGACAGCCCCATCCCATGCTACCCATCCATGGAGCAGTCTTTGGCTCTGCCTGGAAGGAGCTTCCATCACCATCAGAGCACTAACAATCTTTCTGCTAACAAAGGGAGAGTCCTTGGAGCAAGAACTGACATCCCTGAGCATCACAGAAGGGAGAGGAATGATGAGACATGGGGACAAACGCACATAGCAGGGCTCCTCTGAGCACCCCAGCACCTGCAGCAGAGCACAGGAGGTGCACAGCCCCCCAGAGCACAGCTTCCCCATGCGGGAGGTCACCCCAAAGCAGCAGTTCCCCAGGCCAGGTTAAAGCCATGACCTCAGCCAAGCAGCCATCCCTACAGAGCACTGCCCCCAGACACCAAGCGCAGCCCCAAGAGCAGTCCTGGAGCACACAGCCACCTTCCTTAGGAGGGAACACTGGAGTAGAACCCAGCTTCCAACCCCCTGTGGGAGTGCATCCTGCTCAGAGTGTGGCTGCCTGCTCCTTAATGCATCTGCATGGAAATTAAGGCCTGAACCACCTCCAGCTATTGCAGCAGCACCCAGGCGCAGGCTGTAACCCTTGCCTGGAAGGAGCAGCACTCCCACTCATTTGCCCAGCCCCTGCAACGTACAAATGGTCACCTCCTGCTTCTTCCCACTAGAGTCTCATTGTCACTGCTCCATCCCTGGGGGCTGGCACGAGGACGGGCATCCCCCAGCTCTGCATCACCTCTCCACAGCCTCCCAACCTCCTCCAGGAGGTGGGAACAAGCTCAGGAAGCACAGGCAGAACCTCTCTCTGCCCTCCAACAGCCCACCCTTGCTTCTCCAAGAACACCCAAGACCCAAGGGGACATCAGTGACATGACCAAGACAGGCTGCAGCAACGTGCCCCCAGGCATGTGGGTCAGGTCCAATGGACAGAGAGGCACTGAGGTCACATATGCCTACTGCTGACCTTCCTGCAGAGCCAGCAGCCCATCACTTCCAAACCACAGCTGGCACATTTGCTTTAAACACAGACAGATTTCTGCCCCACAGCCGACAGGTGTGAGATAAGGGAGCACGTCCATAAGGCAAGCCAGAGGAAGGCAGCTCGCTCACTTTGTCCCTTCCCCTTTAAGCTGCACTTGCTCCCTTCCCTCCCACGGAAATGAAACCCAACGGCCCCTTCCAAGAGGCAGCTGCTACGAGCAGAGTCAGGAAATGGATTTCCAAAATATTTGGTACAGCTCTGCTAGCAGGTGATGATGGCAAGATGCAGATGGTACACGGTTGGGTTTGTTTCTTAACCATCTACAAGCAGGGAAAGAGAAACTGATGACATTATAACATACAAATACATAGCTGGCTGTAGCTGAGATTTCAAAGACAAGAAACGCTCTGGACCCAAGGCAGCCACTGCATAGCTTCTCATTACAGCACGCTTTGTATCTACTGTGACAAGCAAACCCCTTCCTCCTTCATGCCCTCCTAGGAAGCCACACTCGTTAGCAGCCTGCTTATCTGGGTGTGAGATGACTTCATGCGATCCAAGGCACAGCTCAGAACTCACACGCTGCCATGTCAGAAGGATTCCTGCCACAAAGAGACGCTTCCAGTTTTATCCCCGCTCCGTCAGCTGCTTCAAACGAGGACAGTGCTCCTCACCACTCCACTCCAGACCAGATGGGCAGAAGTGCTGCAGCAGAGAGGCACCCTACACCCGCAGCACTGCTGGGCAGCACGGCCCTGGCACCCGCAGCCTCCGCTCCTCCAGAGAACAAACACCAAGAAATATAGGGTTACCCATATCAATTACTCATCCAAAAGCAAGAGCAGCCCTAACCCTACGCCAGGTGGAGGTAAGGGCTCTGGGCAGGTTGCCACCGTGGCTCCCAGTGCAGGGAAATGTTGGCTATCCGCAGACTAACAAACGCTGGGCATGGCGAGGGCTCAGCGCCGCAGCCTTCTCCTCCGTGCATTTAATGAGGCTTCCATGTTTCATTTCAGAGACAAACGAGCGCCATGCCACACTGGGGGGAGAGGGGGGGGGGCAAGATGGGGAAGAGAAAATAAAAATAAATATAAAAAGAATTAAAAATAAATGCAGGCTGCATAGTCCACTGCACCCAACACTGGAGCATAGCACAAATCTAGTGCCAAAATAAACCAGGACAGACCCAGCAAGAGATGATCTCCCAGCTCAAAGCCTCTGCTCCTCAGCGCACTGCTCACACCACAGAGCTCCTTCTGTCCTTCCTGGGGGCTCCCCACCTCGGTTTGTTCTACAAGCAGGGCAGAAAGAAGCCAGAGACACCGAGAAATCCCTCAACTCCAGCAGCCCCTTGGATCAAACATTCATTTGCTTTCCGCTCCTACTTGAGCTCTTGTTCTACAGTGGGAATGTATTAAAAGGTTGTGCTCCGGTGCCCAGAAATATTAAGTGCCTGAAAGGTTTATCGTGCATTAAGCAATTCATTTTTTTTTTATCCCATTATTATAATGAAACTTCCCATTGTATCGCTGTCCTCTCTTTGGAACCGTTTCACTTTAACACTTTCCATCACCGAGGCTGCTCAGCACTGAAGATATGTTTCATTCCCCCTCCCCTCCCCAAAAAAATAAAGAGAAAATGAGGCCACAAGGAGTTGTGCTAATGGAGGCTTTTAATTTGCACTTCTCAGAAGAGATAGCTCTGTGGGATGAGATCCTTCTTCCAAGAAGCTGGGGCTGCAAACAGGCACGGGGTTTATTGGCTTTGCAGCTCGTTATTTTGGCTGCTGGGGGCAGGGAATGGTGGGGTCCTCAATGCTTATTTGTTTCTGTTTTTTTTTCCCCCTTGTAGCACGGTAAGAAATGCAAATGTAAGCAAAGCAGGCGCTGGCACATTCAGCACAGCAGATCCGAAACAAAAGCAATTTTGGTTAAAGCTCCCAAATGCAGTTTCAGCTTGGTTCTAATAAAGCAGCTATTTCATAATTAATAATTGATGGAATAATTGATCACCGGGCAACTGGACAGGACGTCCTATTAAGCCTCGGTAAATATTTTTCATTGGGTTAGCACTGAGATAGATGTGCAATTTAACAGACAGCAGGAGAAGTCTTATGGAAGGAGGCAGCTCTGTTCCCCTTATTTCTTTTTCATTTCCTAAATTCCCCCCCTCTTCTGCTCCCAAATGTCAAGAAAAAAACAAAAAAAAGATAATTAGGGCAAATGCCATTTCATATCCCTAAGCATCCCACCTGCCACAGGGTGGGCACTTCCCCCAATCTGCAGATGTGGCAATGAACGTCCAGAGAGGTAATGGATGAGAGAAGCACAATTAAAAATTCCCACGGACCTGGAAATGGGCAATTCCTTTATGTAACATCGATTGATTGTTGTCACAAACGCCCTGCGATTTAACTGCCCGCACTCCATGCGGCTCCTTGGCTTTCTATTTTAATTGCATCTATAGCAGACTTGGTTTAGAGTATTACCTCCATAGATTTGGATAGCATTCACTTAATCTCCAACTTTAAATTAATCTCTAATCTTTAAGTGTGCATCTCTCCTTGACATACTTCTTCCACGATCCTCCCCATTAGCCCCCCCTTCCCAATCTGATTCATATCAAACCACTGGGTTACACTTAATGCAACATTCCTAGAGGGAAGGATGTGATTTTTAAAGCATCGCTGGATTTACCCAGCCTGATGGGATTAGAACATCGCTCTAAGTAGTCCCGGAAAAGCGGGCACAGAGCTCCCCGAAGTAGCGCTGCGGGGCCGCCGTCCGAGGCTGGGAGCGGGGATGCTGCGCCCGTCGGTCCGCGGATCCCAGCGCCTCCAGGAGCGGCACCGACCCGCACCGTGCGCTCCTCCGGGCCAGCCCGAGAGTCCCGGAGCGCCGCGCAGCCGAGGAGGGATGGGTGGGAGGGGGCAGAAAAGGAGGAGGGGGTTCGAACGCGGCCCGAGGGAGCCCACCGCCACCCCGTGCGGACGTACCTTTCCGCAAAGAGTACAGCAGGAAAAAAGTTACCAGCCACATGCCATAAAGAGCACCTATGGCCCCGGGGTGCGGCGCAATTGCGGACGGTGCGGTGCCCCCGGCGTGCCGCGCTCCCTGCCGCCGCGCTGCCAGCCAGGTTGAGATGCCCAGAGCCGAGCTCGCAGCCGCTCCTCCTCCCCTCTCCCGGCGAGTGGCGTCGGGAGGGTGGGCCGGGCTCCCGCGCACTCCCCGCCCCCGCGCCCCGCTCCCCGCCGGGCCCCTCCGCGGCCGCGGGCGGACACGGCCCGGGGCTGAGCCCCGCCGCTCGCCCGGAGCGCTCTGCGACGTCCCGGTTCCCCCCCCGCGTCCGAGTGGGAGCACATGGCTTCGCCACGCTTCCTCGGGCCGGGCCGCGTTTTGGGAGGGCGGCTGGTGACACCCAGTCCTTATGCAAGCAGGGGGTGTGTGTTTTCACGCGCACCCTTCCTCTGCCCACCCCGGCTGGTGGCACGCACCGAGCCCGGCGCTGCGCTCACACCTGGGCAAGCGCGCAACAGCCCCGTAGCGCCAGGTGCGTGCGATCGGGTTAAGTGACAGCCGGGCTGTGCCCGTCACGCTTCGTAAAGCTGAGCACAGCTCCATCGTCTGCAAACCTCAACTTCACCTTTGTGCAGAAGGGTTTCCCCTGGGGTGAGCCGTGTCCCGGCCGCAGAGCTGCTCCTCTCTGTGCACACCTGAAACTCGCAGCTGGCAGCGCTCCTCCTCCTGGAAACCCCTGAGCAGCCCAAGGACAGAACCGGGTTTACAAGGCAAACAGCACCAGCACTCGGTGATCCCGTAAGATAGGGCCTAGTAGACCTCACTGCACCAGCATCCCTCCAGCCAGCACATACGTACCAAGCCATGCTGTATTTTGGGGTGTATTTAATCCAAGGCTTAATTGATTGACTGACACCAAAGCCAATTTGACTGGACCATTAGAGGAGTTCAGGATGTCTTTTCTTGGAGTGATCACAGAGGATTCTCTTTGCTTTCGAAAGCAACCTTTTCAACCCCAATTTGTTGAGAAATAAACATAAAGATTGAAGCAACAATGAATAGATAAAAATATGCACTGTCTTCTTTAAAGAAAAAAACAACAACTGTTTAGATTTAGAAGAAAGCACATCTCCCAGTAAAAACAACTAGAAATGCAGCTCCTTGGCCATTTTCAACCTGCTCCAGCTCATTGCAATCGCTTCCTTCGTGGGAGGGCTTTGAGACTCAGACACCTCTACCCCCGAGGTGCCCCCTGCAGTGTGCTGACACCACAGCCTTTCCTCCTCCTCTCTTAGGCAATGCTTTATCACCCCCAGTGCTGCTAGGATCCATCACCCCGCTCCCCACACACACAGCACTCTGTCACCACTTGTGGCTTTCCCCACATGCAGCCCTCCCCGCACCCCAAAGCGCTGGCTGACACCCACCCTGCACCCACACATCCCCTAGGGATGGAGGTGTATTTCCACCCCCTGCTCCACTGGTGTACAGATGTTCGCTGACATCCAGCAGGGAAATTGGGATTCTGGCCCATACCCAAGGCCACAAGCAAGTCCCAGGCCCTGGGGAGTGCCAGCCACATGCCGAGCATCTGCCCCTTCCTCCTCCAGCAGCTGAGCAGAGTCTGCTGATGGGAACCTTCCCACACTGATGGTCCCAGGTGCAGCTCCTGCCCCCTGCAGTGAGGGAGGGAACACAGGGCACTGGCTGAGAGCCCACCCCTGAGCTTTGCCCCCACACTCAGGGAAAGAGACCTCCCACAGCCCCCACAGCAGTATTGGTGTATCTCCTTCACATCAGCACTCAGCCCTCAGAAAGCTGTTACCCTACTAAGAGTCACCACACTGACAGAATGCAAGCACCACACACCTCACGCAGCCCCTCTCCACTGCAGCACAGAACACACACAGAAGGGATGGCACACTTGTATCCTGGTGAAGGAACTGCTTTGTCCAAAGCAGCCTTACCTGCCTGCAACTTTTTTGCTCTGGGCAAAGCACCCAGTGGAATAATGGGATGCATGAGCTCACGGGGTATCCAGGAGATGAGTATAAATGCTCATTTATACTCAAATGCTCATTTATACTCAGCTCCTGGATACCCCATGAGCTCATGCATCCTATTACTCCACTGGGTGCTTTGCCCCAGCACACAGCCTGCATATAGACACAGAGGAGCACTGGGGAAAGCAGCTTTGCATCAGCCTCGCAGCTACAGCCACATTTGAGGACCTCTCTCGAGGAAACAGCCAGCTCACAGCCCTCTCACCCCACATCCCCCAGCCACTCTCCCAGACAAATCCCATAGAGGAAGCACTCATTAAAACAGCAGGGCTACTTACAGGATTTCCACAGGATGCTTCCGATGCAGTGAGGGGCTTAACCTGACAGCACCCCCGCATCCGGGGAGGCAGCCCACTGTGACCCCAGCCTGCCGCTCCTGAGTGCCCCCACACACTGCCCCTGTCCTGTATGGAGATCCCCACTCCACCACACAGAATTCTTAGAGCTGAGAGCCCTTGGGACTAAGTTGCAGGATGGGCTGCATCTGCACCTGAGCTAACTGCATGCATTTGGGTGTTAAAGGGGCAGGCACAGCCCTACGAGTCTTCTCCATATGGGGAGGGGGCTGCAGGCCCTGGACCCCCCAGGGATGGCTCAGTGCTGGACTGGATCAGGGAAAAAAGTTCCCACCCCACTCCGTGCCTCAGTTTCCCCGATGGATCGAGCAGACGGGCAGCAGGGAGGGCCAATGCTTGCAGCCGTGTGTAGAGGTTGGTGACACCTCGATCAGATCGAGAGCAGCGGGGCAGCGCGCTCCGACAGCTCCCTGCCTTCCGAAGGATGCTCGGAGCCGGCTCTGCCGCACGAAGCGCGGCTTCTGCCTCCCCCTAGTGCCGCTGTGCGGAGCGGCGGGCCCGGCCGGGAGGGAGCAGGGCCCGATCAGCTCCGAGCGGTGCTGCGAGGACCGCTCTTCGCTTCCCAGCTCCGTCTCAACGCCAAACCCGCCCGGAAAGCACAGCCCATCTCTCCTGCCTGCCCGCTATGAGGCTCAGCACCCGTGCCGTGCGGGCTCTGGGCTGGGCAGCTGCCCCAGTATGAGTGATACACCCTAATAAGCCCTGCTCTGGAGCGTGCCCCACAGGGAGGTGGGAGCTGAAACGTGATTTGTTTCACTTGGGAGGATAATTTCAGCCCGTGGAGCCGCTGCTGCTCTGGCAGATCCGCCGCTGTTGATGGATGCGCTGCCTTTTCGGGAGCAGAACAAAGGCAGAGCGAGGCGTGTGGCTGGCACCCCGCCAGCCCGGCCCCGTCTCTCCACATCGTCAAGTGTTCCTCCTTGGCTCCATTAGTCACCATTTGCTGCTCTCCTGTTTTAGCTAATGAGGAGACATTTTGCATTCGCATTTCCTCCCGGGCCAAATGCATCCCTGGTACCGCGGTGATGGCAGAGCAGCACTGATAGGCTGGGCATGATGAGCACCCCGCATCCCTGGCTGCTGCCCCAGTGCCTCACCTCTCACATTTACAGTGCATTAAGCACCAAAACTGTCCGAGCTACAGCCCATCTCCCTCTGCCTGGCAAAGCAAATGGTGAATGGTGCCAAGCTGCTCTGAACTAGATGCTTCCCGGAGGAAAAGGACGCTCCAGTTGCCCACTGTATTATTTACCCAATCCCCTTTGTGTCACAGAAAAGATTTACTCTGAGCAGATTAATGGCTCAAGGCGTGGTATGAGAGAAATCCCCCAAGATTGCCTGGTTCAGGGCAGAAGGCGAGTGCCTGCTCACCAGGGCCAGCAGCTCCTGGCTGTGCCATGGGGCCATTCCTGTGGGCAGCCCCAGTAGGGTGAGCAGAGTGGGGCAGGAGCCTTTTGCTGGGTAGCCAAGGAAGCAGGGCAACCCAACAGAACGTTGTGGCTTTTTGGTGTCCCCAACCCGTGGCAGAGTCCCTGCTGGGCGTGCGAAGGGCTGTGTGAGTGTACGTGCACACGTGTGTGTCTGCAAGCCGTGCAGAATAATGCTATTAATGCCATCTGGTGCCGAGACACAGATCCCCCCGTGCAGGGAGCAGACACGGCTTTTTGCTCCCATTAATCTGCTCCCACTGTGGGTGTGTGGGGGTCTCTCTCTCAGGGCTGATGCTGGGGGATTTGTATCCTGAAGGGCATGGCTGCCCACGAACCCAGCACAGCCAACACAGGGAAATGGGAGCCTAGAGGGCATGTGGTGCAACTGAGGGTCCTTCCTCGTGCCTGCTGCTCTCCTGGCTGCTGTGCCCTTGGCTCCTTCTGCAGTAGGACACAACCACACTGCACCCCCAGGCTGTGGGGTCTGGGAGCTGCAGCAGGCAGAGAGGCCAGGGCTGCAAGCAAAGCCTTTGGCTCGTCTGTGCTGCTGCATGGGAGCTGCTCCCCTCTGAAGGCTCCTGCTTGAACCGTGCAAAGCTGCGCCGAGCCTTTATTAGTCGGTCAGTGTCAAAACAAAATTATATTTCCAAATAATCTCCTTACCGTGTTAAATAAGCACCTCAGATTATACAAATTGCACGGATTTTGTCTAATAACCTTCCCCCAGCTAATCCTATTTTACTGTCAGTGTCTGACCTCGATTTAAGCCCAAATGAAGCAGGTGAGGCAGTTTCTCCTCTGCCAACATCATAGGGAGAGATATTTGAGTTTCCAAAATACAATGCAATGTATTCTAAACAATGAGGGCTTAAACCCACAAAGGGCTCTGAGTCCAAACCCGGTGCTCACCGCCCAAGCTGTTTCCCGCAATGCACCCCATGCACTGCTGCTGCTGGGGTTGCTCCCTCTATTCCCTTTTCTGTGCAACTTCTATCTTCTGCCTTGGCTCAAGGCTTCTTCCCCAGCTGCAAAGCCCTCAGGGGCAAAAGAACAGGGGCAGCACTGTGGGGCTGCATGCAGTCCAGGGTCAGAGCAGCAGAGCACAGCGCAGCAGCAGCACGCTGCACGGCGGTCGCTAGGTGTCTGCCTTGGTCCAGCACAGACGCTCACAGCCAGCTGCACGCCTCGCTCACCAATTGCAGGAAAGGGATTTTTTGGTTTGCATCCAAAGATGTGAAACCAATGCACAAATGGTTTCCTGTCCGTGCGCAGGAAGGATGTTTGGAGCAAGCGGTCCGAGATAAGCAAGCGCACTGACAGCCCCTCCCCAACAGCACTGCCCGTGTGTGCATGACACCAGCCACAAAACCCAGGCAGTGCAACCCATGGGGAGGCACGTGCTGAAAATTTGGGCCCTGCAGCCAGCCCTCATGCTGGGCAGGAAGGCACTGGGGTGGGGGACATCCTTCCCTTCTGTAGGGAACCCCAATGCAGATGGGGTTACTCTGTGCCACTGGGCCGTGCTGGGTCTGTGTTGGAAGATGCCTGCAGGGCAGAAATTCATTGGTGCTGGGCCAAGAGAGTGGGCAATTCAGAATGTCTTGGGCACAAAGTTTAACCTCTCTCAGCTGGAACTTTATTAGCTAAGAAACACTCACTGGATCTACCAGAGGGAAAAGCACGAGGGCAATTAGCATCCCAGCCTTGCCCAGGGTGAGCAGGATAATGAATGGATGCATTGGAGCGGGGCAAGAGGTGGCCCTTGGCAAGGACTTCACCTGTGGATGAAGATCTCCTCCCACAGCAACTCTGGAACCGGATGGAGTGGGGGGGTCACAGTTTGTCCCCACACTGCTCCCCCCACAGCAGGTGCCCGTGTGGCTCTCAGCACTGCCCTGAGCCACGCAGCGCCAGGTGCCTCCTCCTGCAGCCTACCTGCAGCTACAGGTCCTCCTCATTTCCTTGTCTGTGGATGAAAAAGTGAGGGGAGATGCGTTACCCTGGGCAGCATCACGGTGAGGGGAGGGAGGATAAGTCAGTCCCTGTCTTTGCAGCCAGCAAGAGAGATGGGGCTGCCTTAAACCCGAGCCATACCCACCTCCTCTTCTTCTTCCCTCCGCAGTGGAACCGCCGGCCTGGGGGTGAGAGGAGCAGCTGAGGCTTCTTGTGCCCACAGCCCCCTCCCCATCTCCCTGCCCTGATGAAGACTGCAGGGCTGTCCCTCCTCTGAGCTCCCGTTGCTGCCCAGCAACGCCTGAGTGCTCTCCTGGGTGCCCATCTGCCTCCCCAGGCTGCTCCTACAGATGCAGGAGCTTTGCTTATCTTTCTCCCTAAAGCATTCGGGAATGTCGTCGTAAGGGCAGCTCTGCAAAGAGCCCTGCACGCTTGGCACCACATCCCTGGGAGCTGCCAAGGGCTGTGGGAATGCTGCTTTCTCTCTAGGGAAATGTCAGACTTTTTCTCTGCTATTTTTAATGACTGACCTTCCCTCCGAAGCCTTTGACGCTGGCAGGGAAACGCTAAATATTTACACCGTCTCCTTCCCAACTCACTTTGTGCTGGGAGTTGGCCTGGGTAGAAATTTCTCAGGCGGCTGCAGGCGATGCCCACCCTGGCAGCAGGGCTGACACCCCGGGAGCAGAGAAGAGCCCCGTGCAGGGCAGCACTTACTGAGGATGATGAGGAGCCCGACCACAAAAGCCACGACGGCGAAGATCAGCCCCCCGTTGCGGATGGTCTCATAGTCTGGGGGGAAGGATGGGAGCTGCAGCATCAGCCTGAGTGTGTGGGAGTGGACTGCCAGCCCCCCACTCACAGCCCCACACCTCATGGGCACCCACTTACCGTAGGTGAACCTGTCTGGGCCCTGCTCGGGTGCTTGCTCTGGAAAAGAGAAAACCCAGTGGGAACCTGAGCCTGGGAGCTGGGCTCATAGTGGGCGCCTGGACAGGGAGGTGAGGTGGGAAAGCTGAGAGCTACGAGGTAGAGTGCTCTGATTTCCTTCCCGATCCAGTAAAGGATTCCCAAACTCCTGTTTTTCACCCCAACTCACCGTGCGCTCGCAGGATGCATTTGCAGGATGCAGAGACTTGAGCTTCAGGTGAAGCTGCACACAGGGAACCGGAGCACCGAGCAGCCCATGGGCTGGCACTGTCATTGTGGCTGTGCCACTGTGCAAGCCACCTCACCTGATGGCACGTCCCTCGGCAAGAACTTTGACTGCAGAAATCCCCTCCAGAAGCTGAATGCTGTCCGGTGCCGGTGCCCCAGCAGGTTGTGGGGCTTTGAGGACCCATCCCTTCATCTCCCCCAGTGAAAGCTGCCCCCACCCTGATGACAGGAGGGTCCTGTGCCCCTGTTTCTTCCCCGCTGCCCGCAGCTCTCTTACCGTCCCCCATCGTGTCGGCGTGCCGTCCAACGGGCGTCTGGCACTGGGAGTGGGCACCCAGGGGAAAGCATGGTAATTGGGAGGCAAACCTCATTAAACATTAACGGCCTCGGTGTAATGTTTATCGCAGTCACGAGGGGAGGCCCAGGGCTCCTGCCTGCCTTTGGGAGGGAGGGGAGGGCCTGGGCAGAGTGCCCCTATCTCAGCTGGGAGGAGGGCTCGGATGCTGGGTGGGAGTGAGAGAAGGGTGACAGCAATGCCAGGTCCCTGCAGCAGCCCGATCTGTGCCCCCAGCCATCACCAAACCGTCCCAAGGCACCCACTGCACACCAGTGTGGCATTGCTGGTGCCAGGATGCTGCACCCCCCAAGCTGTGCCACCTTGATGGTGAGGCTGGCTGCCAAGCAGACTGCTCCATCCAGTTAGCCCTAATCTCACCATCAGCATGTGGGAGCCCGAGCTGCTCAGCGCTGGGGGAGCTGAGAAGAGCTGGCCCAACAGAGCAACCCCCTGGAGATACACAGGGCTCAGCTCCAACTCATCCCAGGAGGTGCACACAGGGCCATACAGGCATCCGAGGTGCCATGAAGCCCAGTGTCACCCAGCACTCCTCTCTCAATGCACCAGTGGCTCAGAAGGGATGTGTCCCAAAGGCCAGGGAACAAAGGGGCCCTGTGCCCGTGCTGCTGGGCTCACTGTTCACAAAGCTATTGACTCTGGCTATTGTTGAAACTGCTGCTGGCTGCAGAAAAGAGCGCGGCACGGAGCAAGCTCAGAGCGCCTGCCCACTGCCAACACAAAGCCCTGTCTGTGCTGCCCAGGGGGCCACTGCCACCTCCCCTAGGAAGCCAGGCTGGCTGCCTCACTGCCCAGCACAGGGCATAGTGTGGGAAGGGCTCAGCCCCTGCTTTGCTCCATGCTTGTCCCCAACCTCTGCACACTACGCAGCCAGACACTGGTAGAAACGCTGTTTTATTCCTTTCCCCCTTAGATCACAGCACAGAACACACCAGTCCTTCACCACAGCAGCACGCTCGCCTATTTAAAAGGAAACACTATAGCTCTGTTTATTGTACAACAGTCAAGGTCTGGCTGTTTCTACACAACCACGGGGTTTTCTTTGTTTAGTGTTAACACCAACAGAACGCCACAGACACCACAGGCACTCCAACACCGACACCGGGACACGCACACAGCGACGCACTGGGCTGCAGGGCACGGGGGGCTGTGCCCAGGGACAGATGGAGTGGTGACAGCCGGGAGGGAGGGACACAGTACACAGGACCCCTCTCACAGCTTCCAGGATGCAGAGAGTCTTGCTCCCACGCCAGCAAAGCCGCAGGTTCCCAGTGAGGCTCTGCATGGACTTGGAGAAGCCACCAGGAGCAGAGGGCTCCTGGACACGGGGGGTGACCTGAGCCCACGGTGCCAGTGGGCATGCAGTGCTCTGAGCATCGTTCCCTGCTGCTACTGAGTCCTGGGGCTGCGAGCATGAGGGGTGACAACACACAGCCACTGGGGGACACGGACATAGGGTGGGCACTGGGAGGAAATATCCCTGCCCCTTCCCACTGGAGGTGACAAGGACAGGGGCTGAGCTCAGCGTGTGTTCTGTTCAGCTCCACCCCAGCAGCACACGGAGCATCGGTGAGGAGCGGTTGGTGCTGGTTGGTGGGGTCACCACTGCACAGCCATCCTCGTTCACAGTGACACGGGATTTCACAGCCCTCTCTGCATTTTGTCCCATTTAATGCAGCACGGCGTGCTGGGATGGAACTGAGGAGCGCCGAGCGGAGGAGATGGGGGCTGTGGCAGGGGGTCCCTGCAGCCCTGAGCCCAGCACTGTGGGGCACCCGGCACAGCCCTGCCCTGGGTTTGGGGCCAGGGGGATTATTGCTGAACAGGCTGTGCTCCCTTTCTCTCCTGGCCACACTATGGCCGGCTGCAGTCCCAGAACAGATGGAAAAGCCCCCGGAATGCTGCTGGTCTGTGCCAGCAAGCCAGCTGGAGGGAGCCACGTGTGCTTGGTCCCAGCCCCACCATGTACATGCATGTGTAGGCACTCAGCAATTTCCTAAGGGCCACGGTGCCCAGGCTGCAGTAAGCTGCATGCACCACAGCCAGGGCTGTCTGTGCCCTGCAGCTTCCATTGCCAGGGCTGGGAGGGAGCAGGGGAATTGATGCAGCACCACGGAGGCACACGGTGCTTCACAAACACCCATGATGCCATTCACCCCCTCCCCAGTCCCCACAGGACCCCGGGCAAGCCAGGGGTCCGCCATGCCCAGCCCACATCACACTCACAGCACGAGGAAGGTGAGGAGAGAGTCACTATTACAACATCAGCAACAACTAGCCCTAGAGGTAATGGTCACCTTACATTAACATACACAGCACTGGAGGCAGAGAGGACAGTGAGTGGAGTTAAGTCGGGTTAGTGGATAGAGAACCGGTGTTGAAGTACAGAGGGTAACACAGACACAGCAGCTTTGCATCTCCTCCAAGGGACCTGTTGCTGCGGGTTCAGTTTCCTGGCAGGCCGCTGGCACCTGCGGTCCGAGCATCTGTCCTCAGGTCTCTGGGTCTGCATGGGGAGGACAGCGGGGGTCAGCTGGGCAGCACGCTGCAGCCCTGCCCTGAGTGGGGACAGAACACGCTCCTACCATCACAGTGACTCTCTGAAAGCAGACCACAGCCCAGGAGCTCAGAGGAGCTCTGACTGCAGGGTCTGTGGGCAGGCAGGAGGTGGCATGCCCCAAGGGATTCACGCTCAGCTCTCTAGAAGCCCTAAAAATAAAACCACTTTGCAGTGGAGGAGCAGAAGGAAAGGAAATGTACCCCAGGGGAAAATCCGGACAGATGCTTCCCTTTCCTGCTGTGCTGCCCAGGGCTTGCAGAGCTCAGGGCTCGCCAGCACTGCACAGTGCCATGCCCTAACCCCAGCACCATGCTGAGGACACAGAGCTGCTCAGAGTAGGGGCCCCACAGCTGCCCCTGTGCACAGCCCCAGATCCCCCTCCCTTCCTCCCCAGCACCCGCACTGGGACTCACTGCATGGCTCTGGTTCAGTTCTCTGCTTTCTGCGCTCCCGTTGCTGTAAAGAGAAGAGCAGAGTGGTTTGCAGAGCCTGAGCAAGGGCATTCTCCTGCCCAGAGCACACACGGCACAAAGCAGCCTTACCATTCGAGGTGATCAGGTTCTCACCCTGAGCCTCTTCATCCCCCGGAGCTCTGCAAGGAGAAGAGCACAGTGAGAGCAGCTGGCACTGGCTGCAGCATGCAGGGCACACAGAGGAAAGTGCTCCCAGTGGCATGCACAGCTGCTTTGCCACCCAGGGCTGTGCAGCAGAGCACCTCACTCACCTGGGCTTCTGGTGAAAACTGCACCTGCACCTCCTGCCTGCAAGAGGAGAGAAATACCATGAGTGTGGCCCAAGTGGGGACAAGCCATGGCTTTTCCTGATGGCTGCTCTAGCCCAGCCCCTGAGCACTGCACCCCAACTCACTGAGTATGAGGAGGATGCCGACAGTGAACAGGACCACGGCAAACACCAGCCCACCAATCCGCAGGCTTTGGTAATCTGTGGAAAGGAGAGAGACACATTTCTGCTGGGCTCAGGGAAGGGGAGCATCTTCTGCTCCTCACCGCAAATGCACAGCAACGCTCACCATAGTGAAAGGGGTCTTCCTTCTGCTCTTGGGCGCCCACTGGAAATAAGCAGACAAAGGATGTAATGTGAGCATATTGAAGGGTGAAAAATTCCACCCCCTCTGCCCAGGGAAGGGATTGCCCCTGCAGGCTGCTGTGCACAGAAGCACCGTACCCACCATCCACTGCAGCTGCCGACACCAGCAGGGAGCACAGGACGATCAGCACCGCCTCCATGGCTGCAAGCGAGAGGGAGGAGCAGGATCAGTGCCCAGTGATGGGGACATGGGGAGGGCTGCCCATCACCAGCAGGAGTGGGGAGGGTGACAAAGCCCCGGCAACCCCAGTTGTGATGTCTGATACCATCACCATACCCCAGTTCCTACGGCTGGTGTCATCACCATGCCCCAGTCCCAACGCTTGGTGCCAACACCATACCCAGCCCCATCAGCTGGCACCATCACCATACCCAGCCCCGAAGCCTGGTGTCATCACCATACACCAACCCCAAAGCTGGGTGTCATCACCAGACCCAGACCCACTGCTGGATGCCATCACCGTATGCCAACCCTGATGCCTGGTGCCCACAACCCTGCAGCACTTCACGCCCAGCAGGTGCAAAGAATGTGCCAGTAGGGTGGAAATGGTGAGCTGAGCATTGCTTTGTGGGGAGCTGTGAGCTGCCTCTGTGCTGCTGGGACCAGAACAGAACCCCAGGGGTGCCAGTCCCACTCCTGGCCCAGATGTCAGCTCAGTCTCAGGGTGGTGTCACGTGGAATGGGGTGAGTGTGAGGGCTGCAATCCCTCCATCAAGGTCAATGCTGCGTCCTTCACCCAGAGCATGCTTTAATTTGTCTCAATTAGCATAGCAATTACATTCTCACGATGAGGCCTGTGACCCTGGCCACCCTCTCCCCCCCCACTCACCTGCGACAGCAAGGAGGTACTATGAATAACCCTGGGTCCTGGTGACAGCTGAGCTTGTCCCAGTCCCTTACAGGGCTGGGAGGTGCAGAGCACAGCAAGGAGCTGCCCTGCACAGGGCTCCTGCTCCCACACCCCCACAGGGACACTGGGGATCCTGCACCCTGAGCCCTGCTGTAGCCTCAGCTCTGTGGATGCGGCTCCTCTGAGGGACTGACTGCTGAGGTAGGTCTGACGCTGATCCCAACCCCACAGCACGCTGCTTGCTTGTGTCCTGTTGCTGCCAGGCGGACACCAAGCAGCCAGCAGTGCAGCCTCACCACTCTTTGTTTCTCTTGGGGAGCAGTAGGGACACTCCTGGTGGTGGCACCACGCTATGCACTGGGGGCACAGAGCAGGGGACACCCCAGTGCCAGGTGGGCCAGGTGCCAGCTCTGGGCACGCAGTGAGGGCTCCATGGCCATACATGGTGCAGAGAGCAGCTAGCTGCAGGAAGGGGTTATCAACCCTGCACAGCCCCGATAGCACCGTGCCGCAGAGCCACCGCAGCTGCTGTGCTGGATGAGTGCCGACAAGAGAGGGGCCCACAGCAAGCAGGAATTCAAGGGATGCAGATCCCTGGCATCGGGCTATGCAGCCCCTGTGGAGCCTGACCTGCTTTAGGGACAACCTCTGTTCCAGAGACGGGCAGGCGTGGGCACAAGGCCTCCAGATCCCCAAGAGGAGCAATTGGGTGCCCAGAAACGGTGTCCAGAGCCAATCCCAAGAAGTCAGGGCAGGGACACACGTTTCCACAGCCTCATTTATTCACGATTCCCAGTCACATCCCATGACAACTCGCGTCCTTCCCTCCCTTCTCACGTCCTGTCATTTGGAAGCAAATGCGCTTCATCTGAACGCCGGAGGGTTTAATTTCCCCCTCCTGCAGCTGCCGCTGCCTTTGTGCAGCACGGGCTGCGCTGCCACGCCGCTGCCCAGGCAGCTCCCTCGTTTGCTCAGGCACGTAACTCTGGATAATTACCAGGTTTTAGAAGCGTGTACAAAGAGCCCAGCAGCTGGTGATACAGTAACTTCTAGTTGCACATTTCCCTATGTCCTTTATCTCACGGCCTCTATCTATTTTCAGTGTGGGTGGACGGTGCCAAGTCAGTGCCATTACCCAACAGGAGGCTCCTGGGGGACGTGGATGTGGTGCAGACCCGCACACAGGCACAGGCGCTGCTCTCAGCCCTCTGCTCACTTTTTGGCTTCTTGAGCACGGCAGAGTTGAGCTTTTCGCCAAGCCAAGCACACAGCACACATATGTTCTTTGTTTTTCTAACTCCCTTCTGGAAATTCACACACTTCTGCACAGCACAACGTTGCTCCGCGCACGTTAACCACCAGGATTGGCAGTGGCCTCGCTGGGAAAACAAACACCACATTCTGGAGTGCAGATGAGCTCGTTTCTCCTCCAAGGAAGCATATGCTTTGCAAATCATCCCAGGTTTTTGGGTTTTTTTCAAGCTGGCCCACCCACTTCTTTGTGAAGCTGAAGTAAAGTGAGAAGAGCAAACACTGCACGGGGTTTGCCTTCCTCCTCGCCTGCACCATCAGCTTGGAGCGCTCAGGGCTAGAAGCTGCTGCCCACTGCCCCCCATTCACACCAGACCCAGCAGCGTCCTGCACACAGCACAGGCTCTGAGCATTGGGACCGCTCTGTCCCCCCCCAGTACTGGTGTTAAGCTGGTGATCACTGAGCCGTGCAGCCAAGCACCGTGTAAACCTCCATGTAGGGGAGTGCAGAGCGCTGGGCACGTGACTTGAATCAAAACATGTGTTGTTTTTTTTTTTTTTTTCCTGTTGAAACGGATGGATCTGCCATAACACAGAGAGCAGTGCAGGAAGCGGGGCAGCGGCACCCAGGGCTCTCCTGCACCATTGCCTTGGGTCAGCCGTTTTAACAGGGAATACCAATCCTCGCCCCCCCATCACCACCCCATACCTACCCCAAAGGGTGGATGAGCAAGAGGGGTGCCAGGCAGGGGGCTCAGCACCCGTACCCCGCAGGGCTCCAGCAACAAGGAGCCAGGCTCTGCCTGCTCCTGGAGGAGAGCCAAGGTGCTCCCACAGCACCCAGTGGGGTACGAAGGCAGGGTGTAGCTGGGAGAGAGGAGAGTGGGGAAATCCCAGGCAGGAAGACCCAGCTCACTGAGGAGCTCTCTGAAGCCCTGCCAGGGCAAGGCGGGTACATTTGTAATGGTCTCCAGTCTTGAAGCACCCTTTCCCTTTTCATTGTTTTGCATAGATCAACCCTGTCAAGTCTCAGCCATCACCGCCCGATGCTGGGCAGCCTCCCTCCGTCAAGAGCCCTGGGGGCATCTCCTGGAGATCAGACCTAGTTAAAATCTCCAGTTTCTGTGCAAAGCCCCCAAGACCGTGACAGCAGTGCTCAGTTGCCTGAAGCATTTAAGAGTGTGCATGTGTGAATGGACATTTCCAGCTATGCATAGATGTGCTCTTCTGCCATCTCACGTCAGCATCAATCTGGCTATTAATGTGCCTGTCATGCCTCTTCTTCCTAAATGAGAGGAAGGAGGATTTCCAGCCCCCACCGCTCCAACATGAACAGCACTTCCCAAATTTGGTGATGATTCAGAGGTTGGCCGGGTGGAAGACAAAACCAACCTGCCTAACACCAAGCTGTCTCTTGTGCATATCTCCCCAAAGCGGGGAATATTCAAAGGAAACCCTCTCCGGGAGCCCTAGGAACACTTATGCAGACCCCATAGACCAGCCCTGACCCTCTGGATGCTCACAGGAGCACACGGTCACAGGGGATCACTGGAGACAGCCCACACCCTGTGCTCCATCTCTCTCACCAAGCTTGCCACTTGCAGGGTTTCACCCAGCCCTGAAGCACCCAGAAACCCACAGCCACCTCTTCCAGCTTGTTCTCTGCTCATTTGCTTAACAGATAACCAGGTGCTGTGAAGCTGAAATTTGCAAACACATCAGTCTGAAGCACACCCAGCACTCTGCAGCCCTCGCTGCACCTCAGCCAAATTCTGGGCTCTGCTCACTGTGTGGGGACAGCCAGGTACCGAGCACAGGTCCCTGTGCCTTGGGCCAGTGCTGCCAGGCTGTGAGGAGGGACAGCAGGCACGGAATGTCTCCATAGTGGTGTACCCAACAGCTGCAGAGCTCAGAGGCTCTTTTACAGCCCAGAATCACTCCAACCTCCCGAAAGGCAAACAGAGAGCACAGCTCCGTGTGCAACTCCCAGCTCACTGCAGCATGGATTGCATGCAGACTTCCTCCACGCTGAAGTCTGAACTCCTGACAAAAGCGTGACTCTCCGCAAACGAGAAGGGAACTAAAATTAAAACACGAACGTGGAACACAAGCAACACGAGAGGCAGCAGCAGGCAGCCCAGCGCCTGGCCGGGACGGGGTGTTTCCTGGCAAGCTGACTGCAACAGGTGGCCCTGCTCTGCAGTGACTGCACTTTCTGCTGGCAGCACTCCCCATCACTCCGCCTCACGCTGCCACCCAACACCCAACGCATGGGCAGTTCTTTGGAGTTATTCTTCAATGCAAACCAGAGCGAAATCACTGCATGGGGCTGAAAATCCCGATGGGTGCAGGGGGATGGCTGCGTGCTGACATCCACGTGTAGCCGTTCCCGTGAGGCTGCTCCTTCACGCTGCAGAGCTTATTCACATCCACACAAACCACCTGTCACTTTCCCTCCCACGGAAATATTTCTGCAAGATCCGAGTTCCGCCACATGGACTCTGCTATCTGTTTCTTCGGGAAGCACTAATTACACACCCAGAGACACGCTCTTCCTTTCCTGTCGTCCGCCTTCCCAGGATATAAAGCACTTGACTGTTTATGTATTGCCACGGCGTTACTAAAATATTTAACAACATGAGCCTGAACGTTGCCAAATATTTGGCGAGGAGCAGCCGCCTCCCTTTTCCTCGACGGCTGCACGGGGCACAGCGAGCAGGGAGAGCCCAAGTCACCCCACGGTGGTCTCCGGCGGGGACGGGAGATCCGCCCGAGCGTCTTCCCAGCACGGGGGGCTGGTAACCAGGCAACGGTGGGATGAGGGAAACCATGGTACCCGGCGTTGCCATGGCAGCCGCCAGGCCGGGGATGCGGGCGGCCTCGAGGCGAGGGGCGATGCCCCGGACAGCCATCGGGCAGCGCCCCGACGGCACGGCGGATCCCGGGGTACGGCTCGGGAGGAGCGCCCCGCGGCCACGCAGGACGGCCCCCTCCCCATCAGCCGGGCCGCGCGCCCGCCGCACCCACCTGAGCTCTCCGGGCCGGAGCGGGGCAGCGCAGGGCAGAGCCGGGTGGAGCGGGGCTGGGGCCGGCGCTCCCCGCTGCTCCGGGCGTGCTGAGCCGAGCCGGGCCGGGCGGTGCCGAGCAGGAGCCGGGCGGGCAGCGAGCGCGGCGAGCAGGGAGCTGCACAAAGCGAGCGGGGCGGGCCGGGCGGGCGGTGCCTGCCGTCGGGAGGGGCGGCGGCGGGGGGAGCCCGGGGCGGGGGCTGCGAAGAATCGGCCCCCACCCCTCCGGGAGCACCGCCAAGGGCCGGGCTGCGAGCGGGGACGGAGCGGCCGAGCGCTTTGGGGCGGGGGTCCCGCGGGGCTGTGCGCGGGGGGTGGGCGTGAAAGGAGCGCGGAGGCTTTGCTTTCTCTCCCCGCTGCGGGAATGGGATGGGAGGCGCGGGCGGGATGCTGGCATCGCTGGGCTGCTGGCACGTCCGTGTCTGCTCCGCTCCTGCTGCTGCTGCCCTGGAGAGCCATTTCCTCGTGGCAAAACACCTCGGCGGCGCTATCAACGCTGACGTGGTTCATCCCCTGATAACTCAAATGCATCTTGGATAGATATCAGCCTTACAGACAGTAATGGCACATATTCCACTTTGCATTAATTTTCCAGTTTCCAGTAAAATATAAAAGCAGCCCCAGCATTTCAAGGCAATTACAAAGGAGGGTCAAGAGATAGAGGCTGACACAGAGAAGCTGGACGACGTCACATCTCCTAATGCATTGGGATAACATGATAAGGCTCTCTCCATCACACCGTGGTAAGTGAGGCAGGAACCAAGCAGCCATAATCAGGTTTGGGGCTCCTCTGACTTTCCGCAGCCCTCAACTGTTATCCTTTGCACACAGTGAAATATTTTGATGCCATGACTGTGCCCGGGGGCTGCACTGAGGCTGGTGGGTATCTGTAGAGGAGTTTGCATCAGGTGAGAGATGCAGGCAGGCTGCAGCTCCCACAACATTGGGCTTCTGCACTTTCTCCTTCGTTGTGTTCCTTTATTCCAGAAATACTCAAAGCATTGCCCAAGATGAGCACAGTTAAAAATTGGCACCACAGGCTTTCTGCTGCCTAAACTCAGGTGACGTGAGAGCACATTGTGCACATGAGCAGCTCCTCTGGCTGCAGCAGCAAGAGTGCTCACAGAGCAGGAGGGAGCCTTGGGGAGCAACGACTTCTTTGGGGTCGACCCTTTTGTCAGTGCACGGCAGGCTATGCTGATTTATGGTAACGAGGGGGCAGGGCTGAGCTGAGCTCCTCATGCTGTTGGAGTCAGCAGAGCAGTGTCAGCAGCTCCACAAGGACATGACTTCACCTCAGCAGGCAACATCGGAAGGGAGCAGCACAAGTGGGCGTCCTCCCAGCCAGCAGGAAGGAGCCACTTGGTCTCTTGAACTTTCCCCTCTGATTGAAGATCCTGTTCGGGGTTTTGGCCATTTCTCCATCTCATGCAGACGATGCTCCGAGTGACGGCACTGATGCTTCATCTGTGATGCAACATGGGTCAGCAGCCCGGGACAGACGTGGGAGCTGTGGGAAGGGGCAGCAGAGCAGCTGGGAGCCCTGCACACAGCTGGCCTTCGATTTAACAGCATACAATGGGGCCTCAGTGCCACGCATTCCCCATGAGCTCAGACTTTCCTTGCTTGCAAAGCGCTGTCACTGAGCAGCACTGCCCAAAATGCAGCTCCCCAGCAGTGCTCCCTGCCTTGCCCCCACAGTCCTGCACACTGTGTGTGTTTTCCCAGCAGCCCTGTGCTAATTTTGGCTGTGCTGAGGCTCTGGGCAGGGAGCAGGCATCCCGTCCCAGGAGCCTCAGAGCAAAGCAGTTTGCTGTGGTCTGTGAACTTAACCCCGGTTTTCTGGGGATTGGGACACGGCTGGAGCTGCCTGGCAGTGCTGGAGGACGGGGAGGGTTCTGTCCACGCCCCAAGCTCAGAGCAGAGCCATCAGACCTCCCTGCTTGCTAACACCAAGCCTGAAAACATTTGCAAACTCTTCCTGATCCTGCTCAGGGCCACTGGAGAGCTGAGCAGCAAAAAAGGGGAAGGCTGTGTAGAGCCACATGGCCGCCTTTAACCCAGTAACATCCTCTTTCGTTGGGCCTAAGCCATTCCTTGTGCTTGGGAGGAACCAAGGAGGCAGCAGGCTGCATTAAAGCTGACAAAGCCTGTGTTCAACAGCAGCTCTGTATTGCCCAAGCTGAAGTTCAGCGATGCCGTGCCAAGAGATGATGCCAACTGTGGGAGGGAACCAATCCAAAGCTACGGGAAAAACATTTTTGAGGAGAAACATCACCTCTGAAACTGTATAAACAAATGCATTTTGACACAACTAAACAGAGAGCTCTAAAAGGAGAGTTTGGGAAAAACAGCACTAATTGGGTGGTGATTCATATGGTGCCGGTCAGACTGCATTTCTGTAATCTCCATTCCTGGGGGATGATTTTCAGAGTGCAGAGGAATGTGGAAGCAGCCTGGCCAGATGTGGGCTGGAAGACAGAGAGGAGCAAACAGTGCTGAGAGCACAGGGGCAGCAGCAGCAGAGCTGGGGGCTACCAGAAAAACAGCAAAGTGAATGGGATCATCCCAAAGCAGGGCACGAAATGCTTCACCCACTGCCCTGTGCCAGCTGGGGGCAATGGAAGCAGGACTGCTTTGCTCAGGTGTCCCAGTGCTGGAGGTGAGGCTGTGCATCTGCTGCATCTGTGCTGTGTTTTCACTGGGAAGAGCAGAGCATAAAAGCCACGGCCAGGCAGCTGCATGAGAAACTAATCGCTTTTAATCTGGTTAGAAAACTTCAGCCCTTGGGGAAAAACAGCACAGCTTTCTGGAGCTTGGCGGGGAGACCACTGGCTGTCAGGTTGAGAAGAATTAAATTAAATTTGTATTAGGGTCTGCAATCACTCCTCTGCTTTGAGAGGCTATTTCAGAGAGCAGGAGAGCAATAACCTGTGAGGAGATGAAATCCACAGCAGAGGTGCAGTTCCTCTGCGCACTGAAATGGCCCCATTACCAGGAATACAGTTCCAAAAAGATCAGCCCTTATTAGCCTCCAATTTTTGTTTTATTCTTTTTCAAAAGATCTGTTTCTCCAGGACGCCATCTCAGGTGGCAATAAAACATTATGGGCTGCACACTCTGAGGAACACAGAGATCCCAGAGAGCCTCTGTACAAATGCATGCCGGGTCTGTAACTCAGAACCCATTGAATTGCCTGCATAAAACAGGGGAGTCATGCAGGGGCCCTACTCCTATCCCATCTCATCTGTCATGAAAAACCATTGCTTTCCATAACCCACAGCCAGCAAAGACCAAAAAAGGTGCATTTTTTTCCCCAGCCTCTGTTTTTAGCTGTGGTTTTGTCTGTGGTTTTCAGTGCTATCCAAACAGCAGCTGTTGGATGCAACGCAGCAGCTCCAGCTCCACGCACACCGTGCACACCCTGCCCAGCCCAGGGAACCCAAATCACAGGGTTCTGCAGGTCCCTCCCCTTCCTGAGCCTCAGAGACATTGTAAAGAGAAACCAAACCATCCCTTGGCCCCCACACGCTCCCTCTGAAGGAGACTCACGGCCGTGGGAGGTTTCTGTAAAGCTTCTTAGAAAAGCTCCTTGAGGTCGGGCTGACTCAGTGTTTCCCAAAAGGCAGCTGATCACATTGTAGAGAGCAGCCACCGAACACCATCTGGCCCACAGCTTTGGTCTGAGGGTGCTTTCTGCACACACACAGCCAGACTGGAGCTGCTATCCCAAAATTCAATAGCAAACCATGGCCTTTTTCATACAGTGGGTTCTGGGAAGTGAGGAGGAGCAGCAAGGTGCCTGCAGCAGCGTGCATCACGGCAGCATCTCAGCTTTGCAGGTGCTGCCTGCACACAGCTGGGGAGAGCAACATCCAGAAATATCCAGAGCCTTCCCCTGCACAAAGGGCCACGTGTTGCCCTAGTCCCACCAGCAGAGCTGTGGGTTAGGAAACAGGCAACCCAGCCCAGAGAGAGCCCTGTCTGCACACCTGCACGCACAGCAGCCAGGGAGCTCTGTGGGAAGTGCTGCAGCACTGAGCCCTCTATTCGAGGTCAGCCCAGGAAGGAGAGGCAGGGCTCTGGGGGGGATGCAGGGCAGCTCCAGGCTATTTCAGAGAGTGCTGCTGAGCCCTGGCTAAGAGCTGCAGCCCCCACAGCTGGGGATGCTGCAGAGGCATCTGCTCATCACAGGGCTCCCAGCTCCTGGGGCTCAGCAGCTCCCAAAGAACCATTTCCACAGAGCACTACTGAAACATTTATTGAGAACAGTGTGGGGCAGCCAGGAGCACCAGGGCCCCCTGCAGCTGGAGGTACAGCCTCAGCAGAGCAGCAGCCTGCCTCCATCCAGCATGCACGCACCCTGACATGTCTGCTCTGAGACATGGGCAGTTGTGTGTCCTCTATGGACTGCGTGCAGCACTGAGACAAAGATCTGGCACCTGGCACTGGCCATGGAGCTGGGAGATGCTGGGGCTAGCATGGGGCTGGGTGCTACTCTATATCTTGCTCTGTCCTGAGCTTCAGCTGCTGCTGGCTTCTGTCACGTGTCACAGAATGGCCCTGCTGCCCCCAGGAGCAGAACAGCCCTGCACTGCTTGCTGCCCAACCCCTGCCCAGGACAGGCAGGGAGCTAAGAGTGGCTGCACAAAGTCCCAGCAATGATTGCTTCCAGGGCATAGAAAAATAAATAAATGGGTGTTTCTCTGCTGGGGAACCACTTCATTTAAAAGACACTTCCTAAATCCATATGCAAATGTGAGAGCAACCACCGTTCCTCCTCCCAGCAGGTGCTTCAGCTGCCCCATGGGGCTCCCCTTTGCTCGGCTGTCCCCGCAGCGAGCAGAGGAAGGGGCTCACTCACCACAGGCACCTGCAGCTTTCTGCTCCTGGCTTCCAGCTGCAGGGATGGGCAGCAGCCCCACATCTTCTGGTTGTGCCCCGATTCAAGGACACATGGTCCTGGCAACTCTGTTTGCAGGCCAGGGGCCACAGATGAGACGACTGCTCCAAGTGGGCACATCCAGCACAGACTGAGCCCCGGACAGAGACATCTCCATGTCCTCAGCAGGACAGAGGTTCTCTGCAGGTGCTGCATTGTCACAGTCCAGGCAGCTGCAGGTCCCCAATTGCATGGGCAGCCCGGAGGAGCAGGGACAGCAGCTGGTACACCGTGCCTTGGTGGCAGGGGGGAGCGAGGAGCCGGTGCCAGCCGGTGCTGCTGCACAGGTTCCAGCCTGGCTTCAGTTGTTCTCGCTCTGCAAGAGGTAGACAGCAGGTGTAGGGGTGAGGCACGGAGCCAGGTTGGACCCACTCCTTCTTCCTCCATGCCCCAGTCTCACCTCCATTTTGCTGTAGATCCAGCTGAGGAGTTTCGTCACACGTGTGTAAACCCCAGGCTTGTTCTTCTGGCCGCATCCCGTCCCCCAGCTCGTCACACCAGCCACGTACCAGCGGCCGTTGTCCTCACACACAAGGGGCCCCCCGCTGTCCCCCTGGCACGGAGGGGGCAGAGCGGTGATGAGAGCAAGCAGAGGGCATCCCCGTGTGTCCCAGGCACAGCCCTGCCCCGCTCACCTGGCACGCATCCTTCCCCCCCTGCAGGTACCCAGCGCACATCATGCGCGGGGTCAGGTAGCCCTCGTACACCTTGTCACTGTTGCAGATCTTGTAGTCGATGAGTTTGACCTCTGCCTCCCTCAGCTTTGGGGAGGTGTTATCTGCAAGGCAGGAGGAGCCGTCGGGCAGGGCCAGCCTCGGCCCCCCGCTGTAGGAGGGAGCAAGCTGCTGCTTCTCGCACACCTTCTGCAGAGCTGCACGGGCAGGAGAACGCCTGCTGTGTGTCAGCTCTGCATGGCACAGCCTTCACACACCCCACAGGAACACACATGTGGGGTGTGCGTGAGCTCTGGAGCAGCAGGCATCCTCCCTTCCTCCCTCCCTCACCTTCGTTCTCCCTGGTCTTCCCAAAGCCAGTGATGAAGCAGGACCTGCCCGTCTGGAACCGCTGACCGTGCATGGGGAGGCAGGCTGGTCGAACCTGAGCTGGATGAAAACCATAGGAGAGAGAGATGAGTCACCCGCCAGCAGAACAACAGCACAGTCACCCGCCCTGCAGCCAGGGCGGAGCGTGGGCTGCAGGAAGAGCTCCCCTCCGAGCTGACCCCGTGGGGTCCCACAGCCCCCAGGACCACCCCCACCCACCCAGTCCTGCCACCTGAGAGCGTCAGCGGCCGGGAGAGCTTCATGAGAGCAATGTCATAGTCGTCGTGGTCATCGCTGTAGTTGGAGTTGATGATGACCTGGGAGACGGGGATGCCCTCCATGGGCTGCTTGAGGTCTGACACCCCGCCGTACACTTTCCAGTCATCGAGGATCTTCATGCTGTTCCTGAGCATGGGGAGGAGGCGGTGGGGGTGAGACACACAGCCATGCCCAGCGCCAGGACTGCTGGATGCAGAGCAGCACTCACATGAAGAAGCAGTGAGCAGCGGTGAGCACCCACTGTGCATCGATGATGGTACCACCGCAGATGTGGACGGGCCCGTACTGCACGCTGACCTGCCAGGGCCATTTGCTCACCGAGGTTTCCTTCCCTCCAATGATTCGGCCTGAAATCCTCTGCCCGCAGGCTGCAGGAGAGAGCAGAGGACTGAGACAGGGGGTAAGCCAATAGGGTGTGCACAGCACATCCCCACCACTGCAGTCACCAGAAGTGCTTGGCGCAGCCTGCCTGGGACTGCAACCTTCATTGCTTTGTATTACCCAGAATATTCTGCTGGAGAACACCCTCTTTGCCCAACCCATCACGAAAACAGGAAGAAAACCCTTCCAAGCCTTTGCTTGGCCTTGCCTGCCCTTGTCCTCATGCCTTGCTGGACAGCCCGCTTACTTGTACACCGCAGGGAGACGAATTTCCCTGTCAGACACTGGGAGCTGTGGGAGAGAAGAGGGGGACACACGTCAGCCCCAGCCTGACCCCCAGCTCGGGGTGGCAGGGGGCTGCCTGCTACCTGTTGAGGCTCTGCTGGATGGTGTCCCGCTCATCCGTCACCGTGAGGCTCTTGCCAGAGACGTGCAGGGGGATGTAGTCTGTCTGTGACGCACTGGGAGAGAGGAGGTGAGACAAAAGCATTGGGCAAAGCCTCCCCAGGGTAAACCTGCAAAGCTGGGGCAAAGATCGGGGCAGAAAGGATTACTTCTGGAAGCCCAGCTGCCGGCAGGTCTTTCTAGAGAAGGACTCGTCCCAGGTGCTGCTGCACACCGGCAGCCACTGGCTCTCAGCGCTGGAGTAAACGTGGAGCAAGGACTGGTCGGAGCTGAACCGCACTGCGGGGATGGAGGGGGGTCAGCAGCACCCGGCGCTGCGGGGCTCCCCCCGCCCGGACACGGCGCTCCCGGTGCTGCTGCCTTACCGCAGCCCAGCTCGTCGCTCCTCTGGGAGCAGTCCACCACGCCGTCACAGCGCACGGGGTTGTCCTTGCAGGTCTCGGCGGGCTCCTTGTACACGATGCCGGTCTGCGACCGCCAGAACATAACTGGGGACGAGAGCGTGCTGCGGTAAGGCTGGGTCCAGAGGTCTGCCACGGACGCCTCCCATCCCCGCCCTCAGCAGCTCGGTTGCAGGGTTTGGATCGCGAAGGGCCGCAGAGCCAGGGCAGGGCTGGCGGCATCGAGCATCTCCCTACGCCCTCCCGTCCACCAGATGTCAGGAAAACTCAGAAAATGGGAAGCGCGCACCTCTGCTCCGCCTCCCGGCCCTCCCCTGCAGGATGCCAGCCCGGCAGCCGTCCTCCCAGCCCGCTGCCCCCCGCCCAGCGCTCACGCAGCGGGGTGAACCCAGCACTCACACAGCAGGATGAGGGCGACGATCAGCACGATGAGGACGGAGACGCAGAAGATGAGCGCGAGCCGCCGCTGGCTCATGCAGGGAGCTCTGAACATGGAGGATCCTGACAGCGGGACAGGGGTTGAGTCAGGAGGAGCACAGCCTCCTCGAGGCACCCAGACCCTGTCCTGGACATCAGCATGTGCCGCTCTCCCCTCACACCCCCAGGAAACCCCACCCCTATGCGAGCAGCGAGCACACGGATGCATTTTCTCCTTCCATCCCTTCTCCGGGAGAGACCAGGAATGGGCTGAACGCGGGGCACAAACCACTATCATCTTACGTGTGCTCTCACAGGCCGTGCACGGGACCGGGGCTGGGATGGAATCGGGGCTGTAGGGCTTGAAGCTGATGCCAAGGACGTTCTCCCGAGGCTGGGGGGGCCGGATGCTGAAGATGCTGCTGGCTGCGGAGGCATGGAGGGAGCTGGGCGATGCCGTGGTCTGTGAGCAGAGGGCTGTGTTACAGCAGTGGCCATCACCCACTGCCCGATGCAAAGCGCTCAGCACCCCGCTGGCACGGCTCAAAGCCTCTTTGCCACAAAGTTTTTCCCTTTCCGGAGGCTGCTGGCCAAATTTTCCAAATGGCTTCCATCAGAGCCATCAGCCGGGTGTTTGGCATCGGGTCAGCCACACCATGGCCCAGTTCCATGGGGCTAGTGCCCCAATTTATGCATCTATCTTTAATTAGCCATTTGAAAAATACAGCGCAATTTCCAACTGTTATTTAGTAATACTTAATAATCAGTGTTTTCCAAGCCCTGAAACATCCTGCAGCTTGGAATGCTGTTCTGCAGTTATGTCACTCCTGACCTGTGAATTTGCAGAAGAATATGTATTTGTTTCCGTTCCTCCAGATACTCTCCCCCAATACTTCCCCAGCTTCCATCAGCTCCACAAGCAAAGCTTCTCATTTTCCTTTGAAGCAGAGACTTGCACACAGCCCGCAAGGAAAGTCATTTCCTCTGCCATTGTCATTTCATTTGCAAAATCTCAAACCTCTTTGGCAACGAGAAATGACCGTGTGCCTTCTGGAGGCTGTGCACTGCTCCCAGCAGGTTCCCCTCCCCTCCTGGTGCAAGCTCCCTCAGCTTGCGCTGTGCTGCTCAGTGAAGCCACCCACCAACTACTGCCAGGCAGAATTTTGACTGCATCCTTACACACAGCATCACCACTGCACCATCAAGGGGGTGTACAGAGGAACCTGCATCCATTGGCAGCACAGTGCTCACCTCCAGGGGACCGCTGTGCCCATCAGGAGCTGGAATTTAGCACATCCCTTCACAGCCCTGCAGCTGCTGGGATCACATTTCTCCATCACTGGGAGCACCTGGGTGCAGGGCACAGCTCGGGGTGCTGGCAGAGCTCTGGGCACTTCTTCCACACTGCCCCTTCCACTGGATTCTCCCTGCCCTTGTGCTTCCTGCTGAGAGCCCAGGGCCCTAATGAGCACATCAGGATCCTGCTCAGGCTCATGCTTTGTAAATATGGCTGTGCCCTTTCGTGCAATGCAGCAGTGTCACTTCCTGGGCATTATCCCCTGAGTCACACCCCTGGTGTGGCCACGCACAGGGTCTGCCATGGATTTTGGAACCCCATGCGAGGGGAAAACACCTCTGGAACAGCCCCCTCTGAGCCCAGGCACAGCACCCAGGGTGCTGAGCACAGCACTGCTGACATCTCCTTCCCACCAGGAGCCACCTCCCACCCCACAGCATCGCCCACCACTGCCCTGACCCACAGCAGAAACCTGAGACCTTTCCCAGGCAAAGTTCCTCCCACACACAGATGAAGCTGTGCTAAATGCCAGTACTGATTGTATTAGCTGGGTATCTGCAAGCTGTCGCCACGTCTGCTCTCTCTCTTTGAACCCATCTTGCGGGGAGAAGAATGTTTCACTTATCAGATGAACTAAGGCCAAACATCAGCGTAGCACTGCAGAACAGCCCCACTCCAGGCATGCTAAAGCATCTCTGGGTTACAAACATCTCACACGAATATCTACATAACACTGTAGGTTAAATTGCTCTTGCTATTGCTTTGCAGAAAGCACGTGGCCTTTCTTATACTGTTGAACTATTAGTTACCCATTTCCTCAAAAGTCTAAAGTCCAAACATTGTTTTAAGCTCTATCACAGGAGCTAACCAACCCTTTATCACGGCGCCCAGCAACCAGCACAACTAGTTACTGTTGGGTGACCACTGGAGCAGAGAGCAAACAGCAGCAGCTTTACAGGGATGGTATTTCTGCCAGAAGCTACCACTCGTGGCCACAAAGCCTTTACTCATCCTCTGTCGGCTTTTGAACAGAAGTCAGACTCAGAGCAATGACTCTCTCACACATGTGGCTGTGGTTTGAGCCATTTTTCTGTCGTCCTCTCCGCAAATGTTCCACCTGCTGTGAGAGCATTTAGCACTGCTGTGGGTTTAAGCCTAGAAGTCATGTAAGCAAGCAGGGATCAGTGACTTCTTTGGCATGGGCAAAGCCTGAGCTGCAAGGAGCAGAGGACCCGCAGCACAGCCCATGGCTGACACTGTTTGCACAGACAACACCTTCACCCTTCACAGCTTGGCTCTGCATCGCATCTTTGGGCATCCTATCCCCCCCACACTGCAGCCCAGACCCCACGCACTGACCTCCAGATCAAGGCTCTGCCTGCGATGACACTGCCAAATCCACACCAGGAGGTCACAAATCCCAGGGAAAATCCCAGCACCGTGGGGCTGGGTTGGATCCAGGTGGGATGGGGAGGGAAGCGAGAGCAATTGCTGGCAGTTTCGGAGTGGGAGGGAGAGCGGAAGCCAGGTGGCACCTGTGGTGTTGCAACAGGAGCTGAGGCCCAGCAGCATCTCAGAGGAGCAGGAGGAGCAGCAGCCACCCAGAAAATCAGAGCACTAAGAGGGGCTGGAGGCAGTCTGCCTTAACCAGGCGGCAGGAGCTGCCCGGGCAGGAGATCATCTTTCTCAGCTGAGCTCACTGCTATTGCGCAGGGAATCATATTCCACCTGTCAGCAGAGTGCTGCGTCCTGTGCCAGGCCAGCTCTGAGCGCTGACAATGGGGACATTGTCCCCGTGCCCCTGGGGTGAGCTGTCCTGAGCCTGCAGGTGTCTGCAGTCTCTACACAGCCCCACGTTCCCATGAAGTGCACAGCAGTGCTGGCCCAGATCTGAGCCCCCAGCTCAGCCCAGCCGCAGGGAGCCGGATGCTGTAGAGGGACATGCATAGGGAAGTGAAAATCCTAAAGCACACAAGGGACATTTTGCAAGCGTGGGTGACAAGACATTGAGTCAGCCCCATCGGGCCAGGGCCAGGTTGCCATATACGAGAGTGAGGAGCCCTTCAGGCAGAGATCAGGAATTGGTGCAGTAAGCACTGCTCAGCCAATTCCAGAGATGGGCAAACTGAGGCACGGACAGTTGAAGTGAGGGTGGTCCCTGGGATGGTCGATATAATCCAAGCAACATTCAGGTGACCCGGAGGGGATATCCAGTACTGAGTAACATTCTCCATGTGCAGGCATCCAAATTCCAGCCCCGCTGTCACCATGGTGCTCCTGCCTGCTTTGGGTGACACGGTTAGCCGGGATTGCACAGCACAGCAGTGCTGGAGTCAGGCAAGCTGAGCTCGGGGCCTTGCAAAAAAGGATAGGGCTGCAGGCAGCCCCATATGGAAACAAGCCCCAACCCAGGCTGCCTCGGGGGCACCTTCGCTTCCACTACCACGTCCTCTCCAGCCCCATCCCTGCAGCCCTGCGGACATCACGGCGCAGCTCAGCGCAGAAATTACTGCCTCTTCCGGGAGGGCTGAGCCCTGTGACAGCCAGGGATGTTTTGCTCATGACGGGATGCTCACTGCACCTTGGGGAAGCCCAGCAGCTGACAGAGCCGGCGCTGAGCAACCCGGCCCTGAGCAACCCAGACCCTAAAGAATGGGGGGAAAATACCAAAAAAGTGGGTCAGGAAGGGCTGCCAGGGCCACCTGCGTGCTGCTTGTGCTGCCAGCATGCTGGAGCCCAGCAGAGCGTGGCTCCCGCAGGTGTTCTAGCATCCTGCCCTTCTCAGCAGCCTGCCCTCAACTGGCCTCCATCCTTGCAAACCCACCGGAGCCACGGATCCCTCAAACATGGGAAAGCAGAGGGGCTGAGAGGCCCTGACGGCCCCTCATGGGGCAGCACGGAGCTGAAGATGCTGGTGGCACTCAGCCTCCTCCTCCCCACTCCACATCCCCATGGCAGAGCCTCCCGGTCCTTCCCCCACCAGCACTCACTGCCCAGGGAAGCAGGGAGGCAGAAAGCGGCCTTAAAACACCCAAAGTGAGCGACTCACACAGGTCTCAGAGCAAACCCCAACCAGCTCCAGATCCCAATTTGCTGCCCGTGCCTTACCGGAGAGATTTTCCCTTCCATGGGCCGCTGTGGGGCTGGGCTGGGATCACAGCTCCGGCACAGCCATTCCCTGCTGCGGAGCGAGGTCAGGTCCGCGGGGACGGGGCAGGATCTGTTTGGCGAGCGGGTTTGTACGTCAGTGCCAGCACTGAGGAAACCAGTCGGACCTGCTGCCCAGCTCCACCGCTGCCTGTTTCCCAACTGCTGCAGGCACAGCGTGCAAAACACCTGCCTCTGCGCCCTGGGAGGAACGTGGCTATGGATAAAGGCTGGTGAGGTGAGGGCTGGCCATGGGGAGAGTGGGTGCCAGCTGGGCAGCCAGGCACTGGGGCTGCCAACAGCTCCTTGCTGCAGCTTGATCACCTGCAGTTCTGTCCTGGGTGGGGATGGCAGGGGGTTGTATGCCCCAGCAACAACCCACAGAATCACAGAATCACCAAGGCTGGAAAAGAGTTTCAAGATCATCCAGTCCAACCATCACCAATACTACTCACTAAACCACGTCCCTCAACACAAAAACACTCGTGTGTGGGGTCAGGGTGGTCAGAGTCACCTCACTGGAAAGGATGTGAAATGTCATCTTTGTTCTTAGAGATAGCAGGGACTAGCAGGGACATCCCAGCTTGTAGGGTGCCAAGCCTAAAGCCCTCCTCATTTCACTGCCACAGCTTGGGGTGGGGAAACTCCATCCCTCCACCTGTCCAGGGCTGCCCACCTGACCCCCTGCTCCTGGGCATGCTACATTCCCCATTTTCCTCCAGCAAGGCCCGGCTGGAGCAGACCTTTTCCTGCACCCTGTCTGGCAAGTCCACTTTCAACACAAACTTTTCAATGGGTGATGTTCATTTCTAGGGTTTCTGACCATCCCCTGGCATGCAGCACCATCCTCTCCTGTTTGCACACAGAACTGAGAGCATTTGGCTGCTTTCTGCAGCTGCCCTGTGCCATGCAGGGTGTGAAGCAGAGGGAACAACGTTGCCCACAGTGCCCCGGCTCTGACACCTCTGAGCTGCAGCTCTCAGGAGGCAGCTTTGCAGCTCCAGGAATGATGCCTTGCTGGAAATCACTCTCTGTAGGTGGCTCTGTAGAAAGAGCAGGAGTGGAGCTGGGGCACCTGTTGCTCCCAATGCTGCGGATGCCCTCTCAGGAACAGCTTCTGGAGAAAACCTGCGGTGCTGCTCTGACTCAGGTGCTTTCCAGGTTGGTAAAAACACTATGCAAAACTTAGTCAATTGTTTTGAAGATGAAAAGGAAACTCAGCAGTACTTTTGAGTGCTGGTTTGACCCATGAACTCAAAACCTCTCCACCCAGCGCTGCAAGAGTTGAAAGGCTGAAAGTTTGCTCTTTTCTCTCTGGTTTTATCGCAGTGCTCTGGTGGCCAGCAGCACCCAGGGTGAGCGTAGAGCTCAGCTGTGGTTTCCCCGAGATGCTTTGAGATGAAGGCAGGGGAGCAGCCACAGCCGCAGCCGAGCAGTGTTTTGGAGGGGATAGAAGAGCAGCAGCAGGAGGAGCATCCTCAGCAGCACCCACATGTGCCAAGTCTGCGCCCCACGGTGCTGTCCCTAACACAGCACCTAGCAGCACTGAGGTGGCAGCACTGCTCCTGAGACTTTCAGAATGAACCTCCAGCTGTGGTCCTTTCTCCTCAGCCTGTTTTGTTTTCCCCTAAATCACCAGCCACATGACGGACTGCAGTGTGTCTTTTCCAGCAGGCTCCCCCCTTCCTCATTTCTGGTTCCGCTGCTTTTGTTTTTCATGTCTTTACATGAAACATGGGCTGTGTGTGATGGGCTGCACCTCATCTCAGCATTTCCAAATTCTGTCCCTGCCAGCTGTGACTCAGGGGCTGACAACAGGGTGATGGAGCATCAGCTGCTACCCAGGAAAACAAAGCTTAGCTGGGCACATCCATGGAGCAGGGCTGCTGCCACCTCCCTGCTGAAACCTGGGTGCTGCAGGATGCCCAAGTCCTGTGCTCTGTGAACCAAGGCTGCTCGGAGGCTTTGTGGTGTCCAGATGCTCTCAGTTTCTCTTGTACTTTTTATGCATGACCTTTCCAACAGCTCACCATCGGGAAATTCCTCTTCTCAAGACGAATCACACTTCATCACACGGGTTTGCACAGCCTCCAGGAAAGCCCTCAAGCTCTCCTGTAGTCTAGCCTGCCAGAAGGGAAAGCAAAGACAGCTTAGCCTTGGCCCTCAGGCCAGTGTCACCACCAGGCAGGGTAGGGTCCTGGGGCCCTGGGTACAGCCCATGGCTCGCTCCAGAGCTGAGCCCTGCCTCTTGCAGTGCCCAGACCACCCTTATGCATGGGGGTGCACGAGGTGCACAGCAGGCAGTGGGTGGTCACCCACCCCCAGAAACAGGGAGTGGGAGCCAGGAGATGTAGGGAAGGGAGGGAGCAGCAATCCCAGGCTGTGGTACTGGCCATGACCTGTTTGGTGTGGGACATTGGCCCTGGGGGTACTGTGGGACTGCTGCTGCGCTCAGTGATGCCCCTGTGATGTGTTGTCAAGGTGCTGCTGCGCTGTGCTTTGAAAATCTAATTGAACAGGGAGGCAGACACGTGACATGTTCCTATTTTCACTTTCTTGGCAATGTACCGTTTATTTGGAAAAGCCCCCAGCACTCCCGCCTGGGGCTGCTGGCAGGAAATGCCCAGCCTTGCACGGAGAGCTGAACGGTGCTGAGTGGGTGGACAGCGAAGAAAAGTGGAAGTCACAGCACAGCTACTTTCCTCCCACTGCGCTAACTCCTCCGAGACGTCACTAAGCCAGCCTCCGGGGGAAAAACAAGCGCTCACAGCCCGCCCGGCTCAGCGCACACCCGGCTCTTCAGCCCAGCACCTGCGGAGGATGCGCATCCGACATGGCCCTCTGCGCTGCCCTGGCCCTGTGCGTGGCTCTGCTGCTCGCTCAGACAGCACATGGTAAGTGCCCCATGCCCCTGCCCTTGGGGCTCCTCCTCACCCCCACCCTGAGCCCACAACACCAGGGATTGCAGTTGGGGAGGCACACGGGGGGAGCGGCACATGGGGATGTTGCGGTGGGACCCCGTGGCTTCGGAGTGCTTTTGGAACACCAGCCACTCTCCTGCTCTCATCTGTGAACCCGAAGCCTTCTGAGCACTCAGACCTTTTTGAGCACTCAGATCCTTTTGAGCACTCAGACCTTGCTTACCGCAATGCGTTCAGGCTGTGGGGCTTCATGTAATTAGCGCCCGGTCATTAGTGCACACTGCGGGCAGCTCGGCTCCGGCGCCCCGTGCTTGCTGGCTGACAGCAGCAGTGAGGGGAGCAAGCACAGAGAGAGCGACAGATGTTATCGAGTGGTGTTTTGCTGCCAGGTAACAATACCAAAATTCAGGCAGGAGGTGTGAAAAAGTCTATTTTTTTCCCCAGCAAGTAGATGAGCAAAACAGGAAGGCTGAATCCAAACAGAGAGCTTGCTAGCGAGCAGCAGCACTTGAGGGAGCAGACACAAGGGGGAGAAAGAAGTGAGGTGCTCTTGGCTGGGCTCTCTCTGTAGGAGAGAGGAAGAGAAACAGAATGAGTAAAATGCTGGAGCCTGGGATTGTTTGGGGGAAATCCCTGTCCCAGGACTGAGCCTGTGGTTCTTCAGGGCCAGCAGAGTTTCTGTGGCCATGGACCAGGTGAGGTGGCCCTGTTTGGGAGCCTACAGCTGATGGCTCCATCCTGCAGGTGAGCTGCGGTTAAAGCCCACACGTGTGCGCTTCGTGGCGGAGATGATGCACCACCTGCTGCAGTGGGAGCCAGGCCGTGATGCTCCCAGTGACACCCGCTATGACGTGGAGCACAAAATGTGAGTACAGTGCCTGGGGGTGCAGCAGGGACAGCCAGTCCCTCAGCACTGCACTCACCCCGGGTGCTTTCCTGGCAGCTATGGCACCGACAGCCCCTGGACCGCCATCCCGAACTGCATAAAGATCCGTGGGCACAGCTGTGACCTCACCTACTACACCCTGGATCCCTCCCGGCGCTACTATGCCCGGGTGCGAGCTGTGGTTGGGAACCACACATCTGACTGGAAAAGGACCAATGCCTTCTCCCCACAGGAAGGTAGGTCAGCACCCACTCCCATTCTTGGCTGCTCCAAAGCCCTTGGAACTGCATGAGGACCCTCCATAATACTCCTGAATCTGCTCTCTCTGCAGCCAGCCTGCGCCTGTCTGGTCACAGCTTGGCCGTGATGGACAACAGCATCCATGTGAAGCTGCAGCTGCTGCTCCGGGCAGGGAACCGCACTGTGAAATATGACGACATCCAGAAGCACGCGAGGCGGTACCGGGTGTACATCCGGAGGGCACGGGACAACCAGACGGTGAGCATCAGTCCTCCATCCGAGTTAACACTGAGCCAGAACATTGCAGATATTTCTCTGTACTGCTTACTGTAGTGGGTCCTGCAGCTCCTTCCCTCCAGAGGGATTTGGGGTCTGGCTGCTGCCAACAGCTCTGATAAGCACTAGGGGGCTTTCTCCAGGAAATGGAGGAGGAGAAGGGAGCAGACCCTGGGGCCCAGCTCTCGAGTACAAGCTATGCTCTCTCATTGCAGTATGAAGTGTGGGAGACCGCCTCAGAGTTCCACATCCACAACCTCTTCTGGAACACTGAGTACTGCATCAGTGTGGAGCCCGACGTGGCCAGCCGGCACATCCCTGCCACGCGCACCGCTGAGCAGTGCATCACCATTGGCAACAGAGACAGTAAGGATGGAGTGGGGCTGGGGGGGCCCTGTGGGACCCGGTCAGCAACCAACCCTGGGGGGAGCTGTGCCTGTTGCAGGGCTTCCAAGCAATGTGTGCCATGGGATCTGAACTTCAAAGCTCACCTGGGCACATCCTCTCTTGCAGGAAATGCAGAACTCATCCCGATCGTTGTCAGCTCCTTTGCCATTGTCCTCTTCCTTCTGGGCATCCTGGGGGCTCTGCTGGTCTGCATGTACCTAAAGAAACCCATGAGGCCACCATCTGTCCTGGTAAGGCAACGGGCACACAGTGTCCTTTGTGGCTGCTGCAAGGGGTGGGAGAGGCAAGCCACGAACAGGGATGAAGCAGGGCTCATTCCCCTCTTTTCTGTCCCTCCCAGAAGTCCTTCATAAAGCAGAGCTCGCTCTGGATAGAACAGGAGACTTCATCCTCGGGGAGCACAGATGCAGTGCAGCAGCTGTTCCTGTGCCAGAAGGACCCCCAGCTCCACAGTGCCCTCAGCACCACGGGCACAGCCCAGCCACCAACAGAGAAGAGCAGCCTGCTGCCAGCGTGGCCCAAGGAGCAGGCAGCAGGGAGCAGGGACAGCAGCTGCACCAGCACAGACAGTGGCATCTGCCTGCATTCTTCCTCTTCATCCTCATCTTCATCTTCCTCCTCCGAGCTGAGCCACTCTGAGAAATGTGGCTACAAGCAGCAGCTGCCTGTTGGTGATGACAGTGGTGTGGGCTTGGAGAGCCCTGCTGGGAGCCTCATGGAAGCTACACATGGAGCAGAGCCTGATTTCTGCCCCACCATCGGGCAGGACAGCCCACAAGAGGTGGAATTCCGTGGATACCTGCAACAGTCCAAGGGCACGGTGGAGCTGAGGCAGGGGCAAGCTGATGGTGGGACACTCTGGGCCAGTGCAGGAGCTCCGTGGGGCCCGGCTGGCACCAACATTGTGCTGGATATGGGCTGCACGGAGCTGCCGGTGTCCAAAGGGTACCTGAAGCAATCCTCTCCTGAGTGTCCGCGCAGCCACACTCCAGCCCTTGCTGCCCCGGGGTCCCCTATGCTGACCAATGGGGCTCCCCTGGCCTCCAAGGCCAGTCCTGAGCTCCTGAAGGTCCCCCTTGACCTGGACATCTTTGACACTGACCTGATGGGGACGCTACCCCTCATCTCCAGCCTCAGCTCCGACGAATGGCTCACAGTGCAAACCAACCCGCTGAGCACACTCAGCAGGGACAGCAAGGACAGCCGCCTGTGAGCCCCCTGTGACCCTGACACCACTACCTCTCATCACTGCCACTTTGGAGCAGACACTGGATAAGCTACCGCCGACCCCTGAATGTCAGCGCATCGACCTGAGCACAACCTTGGCAGACTCACCCCAGAGCCACTGGCATCGCTACAGCTGGGGCAGCTTCCCACCAAGCCCAGCACAGCCAGCACCCCAGTGACACTAATGGGACATGGGGATGGGCTGTGCTGGACCACCAAGACCAAGGACGTGCACCAACTCCATGGCACAGAGCACAGCCCTGGCTTTGGGCTCCCTTTGCCAAGTTTCCATTCCCCACTTCCCCTTCCTGCCACCCGAACCTTTCACAACACCGATACCAAAAGTGCAGCACAGCACCACGTCAGCTTTCTCCGTGCTGCTGCAGGGAACTCCCGCCTTGCTGGCTGCTCTCTGAAAGTGCCAGGGACTCCTTCAGCCCTACAGAGCCTGCAGCCCCACACCAGTGAGCCCAGCAGTGCCCACCACGCACTCAGCACGATGGTCGATATTCTGCCATTTTATGTACAGATACTATTTATTCTATTTAATTTGTAAATACAGAAGGGGATGAAGCATTATGTCTTTGCTCCGCTCATCATTTCTCCTCTTCTAAGGCCTGGTTGTGCTTTCTGTTCTCAAATACGGGCATCCCCCCACAGCAGACAACAACAATGTGCCTTCCCTGGGGCTCAGATGCACTCTCCGCACTGCAGGGGAATCACTGCAGCCCCCGTGGGTGCCCCAATCCCCCCTCCTTCCACTTCCACATTCTTTTTCCTTGAGGTTGGTTGGGGGTTTTGGGTTTCTTTTTTTTTTTTTTTCATCTCTATCTTTTTTTTTTTTTTTTTGGTTCGACTTCCTCTGAAAAACGGAGTCGTCAGAAAGAAGCGTGAGGTTCCTGTGCTCCTGACGTCAAGCTCTGCGGCCGTCCCCGAGGCTGTGCCGGGTGCTGCCGGTTCCCACTCAACGTGGGAGGCTCCAGCAGGCTGCAGATGTGGCTGAGGGACACCACGTTCCCCCCCCCCCCCCCCCCCCCCCCCCCCCCCCCCCGCCTCGGCAAGCTTTCCTTTCAGTGAAACAGATGCCTTTGCCAGAAAACCACACGCTTTGGCTTTGAAAGCGGAGAGCACAGAGAGCCCCTTTGGCTCCGGGAAACTACAGGCGCTCACATTTTCCTCGTTGAAGTCACAGCTCAACACGCTGAGATGTTTCTCTTCCATTCCTTTTGATAAAAACGCCCTTTCCTCCCCCTCCCCATCCCCGCAGCACGTAGCATCACATCTCAGCCCCTTGCTCTGGGGGGGGCTGCTCCTGTAAATACCTTTTTCCTCCCCAGCACCGACGCCTGAATGCATTTCCAATGATGCTCCAACATTTCCAAAGCATTTCCAACAAACCCCCCACCCACAGAGCCCCGTGCCCGGGGGTGTGAGGCACTGAGGGGATGGAGGCAGCAGAGGGCAGCCCAGAGAGGGGCAGAGCCATGCTGGGCACAGAGCTGTCCCATGCAGCTCAGCCCCATGGGGACCTGTCCTGCTGTGCCCAACAGTGCAGCACTGGGCTGCTGAGACCCATACCAGAAAGCCTCGAGGAAACCCACTGGGGATTTCTGGACTGTTCTCTTGCACAGTCTGTACAGACTGGAGAAATTTCCATATTGGTGCAGTTCCTTGACTAAGGGAGGTATGAAGTGCTCTCATTTCCTTGCAGTGTTTTCCCCTCTTGCACAGTCAGCCATCCATTTCTGTGGTTCCTTGCCACGCTTTTGGGCTGATTCCTCACGCTCCTGCCCCAACGTCTGCTGGGCAAACCGGGGTTCCAAGCACTGGGATGTCAGATCAGTGGGGAACATAGGGGTGCTTTGCTCTGCAGGGCGGGTGCTTGGGATGAAGCAGTGCCCTTTTTCCTGCACTTCAAGAGAAGGAGGATGAGCCCATGCCCAGCAGTGGCCCTCATCCAGCCCTGCCCAAGGCCAAGAGGGGCAGAGAACGAAACACAGCAGAGAGAGAATGGAGAAGCTTGATTAAAAAAAAAAAAAAAAAAAAAAAAAAAAAAAAAAAAAACAGAAATAGCACTGCTCCAAATTTGGTAGAAATCTTGCGTTTCTGGGAGTTGTTCTTTAAAGAACCTAGAATAGAGGAATTTCCCCATGGCCAGTTTTATTGTTCTGTCTGTGGTTGCTGGTGGGGGGAAGAGGCAGCAGGAAGAAGCTGCTAGTGGCATGTGGTCACAGGGAGCACATGTATTCCAGCCCATCCTCCCTCACTGCTTTGGAGAGGACTTTCAGAGGAAAATCCTTGGGACTATCCCAGGGAAAGCCACAGCCAGAGCTACAAGAGGGGAAGGAGGCTCTGGGGTGCAGAAAGCTTTGGGGTGCAGCACACTCACCACCACGGGAAGGCCCCGTGTATGCTGCTCCAGGCTCTGCAGGACCTCCATGAGGCTGGGATCCCACCTACAAGGAGCAGGACCATGCCCTGCTGCTCACAGCCCCTGCTCGTGGAAGCGCACGTAGCCATTCCCTGCCTGGCTCACAGAGGCACTGATGCTGAACGGAGGTGCCAGCTCCACTGCCACCGACCTCAGCCTGCTGCAGGGAAGGCAGGGGTGTCAGGGGGCTGTTGGATCCCTGGGCATCTGCGAGGGACCCTCACCCTGCCCAGGGGTTAGGGGCTGGTGAGGGTCTGCAGCACAGTGCAGAGGGCACCCGTGTGACTCACTCACCAGCCATGGTAGAGGTTGAAGATGAAGTCAGGCCCTGGGAGGGGGAGGAGGGAAGGAGAGGTTGTCAGAGGGCCTGCAGTGCCTGTAGAGGTCTGTGAGGGGGCACAGGACAACCCTCTGGATGACCAGAGCACCGGGACATCTCTGTGCATTCCCCCTGTGCACCCTCCAGCCACCCTGCATGCAGATTTTGGGGACCAGCAAATGCCATTCGTGCTCCCCACACCCTTCCTTTGTCCCCTCCCTGCCCTGCAGCTGCTCGTCCCCTGCTCTGCCCATACTCACTGCACCAGCACCAGCCCTGCTGGTAGCAAAGGAAAACGGTGTAGCCAGAAATGATTAGGATCAGCAAGGCAAGCCCGATGCCCAAGATGAACCCGAACACACCGATGAGCCCTTGCCCTACGAAGCAGAAGGAAAAGGGTTTCTGCAGACAAATCTCTCTGGGAGGCTTGAGATTATGAGCATCACCTGAAGAAAACCAGGGGCTGTGTGCGTGCCCCCATGCTGTGCCATCCCTCTGCTCCACCACGCCCAGCCTTGGGAGTGCAGGTGGCTTGCAGCAGCCCATGCACGGGCACACAGTTCCCTCTAGAGGATACAGGCGTCAGGGCAAGAGCCGTGCAGACCCATGCAGAGCCATGTAGAGACACGCAGAGCCGTGTAAAGACGTGCAGAGCAGTGTAGAGCCGCGCAGAGCCGTGCAGAACTGTGCAGAGTGGACCCTTCTTTAGTTTAATGCCATTACGCCTTGTCTTCTCACTACACCCCCCGATAGAGTCCGTCCCTATCTTTCCTGCAGATGCTGAAAGGCCCCTATAGGGAAGGTGCTCCCTGACACCTGTGTGCTGCCTCCCAGCCCCATCAGGCCCTCGGAGCAGGCAGGCACAGCGCAGGGGCTCAGGGCAGGTACCGGCACTGCGCCTTGCAGCATCAAGAATGAGCCAGCGGAAAGGGATGACCTAACAGCAGCTAAATTTAGACAGATGCCGGTGGGGTGAGAACATTTCCCCTGTGGTCACTGTGTTTACATAGTGTGTAACATCCCAGATCGTCCCACAACCCGCAGCGCTCGCCGTACCTGATGGCACACGACAAACAGCCGGGGAGCAGCAGAGCATTGCACCGTCAGCTCTGGGATGGTTGTGTGGACAGACAGGATCAGCCTGGGCTCCCAGCAGTGCTGGGGCACTTGGGTATGGTGCTCCTTCTGCTGAGCCAGGGGTGAGCTGGGAGCCTCAGGACCCCGCAGGATGAGGGGAGGCAGCGTGCTGCCTGGTGACTCACTGGGAGCTGAGCGTGGTGCAATCGCTTCCCTGAAGCAGCTGGCTGCCGAAACTGCCCTGTCCCCATGCCTGCTGCTGCAGGGTGTGCTCACTGCCCCGCTGCATTCCCAGCCTCTGCCCTCTGCGTATGGAAGGTGCTCCCTGCACAGCAGCAAAGCAGAAACCAGACCCAAGCCCCGTCCCCAAAGAGAGCAGAAAAGAAGGTCACCACCCCCTGTTTGTGCTATAAAACGTCTTCACCTCCACTCAATATGGGGAAAAAGTGCCAACTGCTTACCTGTCTCAGGGTCCATCTCCCCGTGCCTGCTGCCTTCCCGCAGGAGCTGCTCATGGCTGGGAGCCACTCCCAGAGCCCGGTGTGTCCTGCATGTCCCCTGCTTGCCCAGTGACAGCACTCCTCACCCGCTGGCTCAACTGGTTTTGAGTGGAGAAAGCAAAGAGCTGTGGCAGACATCACCCTCATGCCCCAGCCTGACCTCCCCTCCCTGCAGGGCTGGGCAATGCAGGCGGCTCTGCCCTCTTGCTGCAGGCAGGAGGCCCCAGCAAAGGTTGAGCTTGTGGCACTGGGAGCCCAAGGGGATAGGGATGCCCCAGGGACATGCATGCCCAGACCCAGGTACACAGGCGTGCAGCCCCAAGCACCATACCTGAGCAGTTCTGCCCTCCCGGCTGCCTCCTCCTGCAGGGTCCCACTCAATCAAAGCTTGGGGATGCCTGCAAGGGTAGGAGGACAGGGCAGCTCCAGTGCAGCACGCTTAACATCTGTGTTTAGCCACCTTCTCAAAGCCTGAGCTGCAGAGCCATGTGGGAACTGCTGCCCACTCACAGGAAGGACCAGGAAAGCAGCTGCTGTGGCTGCAAGTGGGAAACAGCAAGCAGGGACATGAGTTAACAGCTCAGAGAGTGGGCAGCCAGGGGGAAACCCTGCAATGGGAGATGGACAGGGCAGGAGCTGAGCCTTAAGCATCCTTTTCTGGAGTGAGTTCCCCAGCACAAGGACCACGAGGTGATGGCCAGGGCAGAGAATCAGGGAAGGGCTGGAGGGAGAGGCAGCAGGGACTGAGTGCTGCAGCCCTGTATGATGGTGGCCACTCAGAGCCTCATGCTGCCCTGCCTGTCCCCAGCCTGACCCCAGACAGAGCCACGTCACACCAGGGCCACGCATGGCAGAGGTTTGGGGAAGGGCAGCCGGGGTAGCAAAGCAGCCACGCTCCAGGAAGCAAAGCCCTGCAGGCGTGCGGGGCTGTGACATAACATCTCCAAACCTCTGCTGTTTCCTCAAAGCCTTTGCTTAACCTCAACAGAGGAAGAGCCACTCCCCGCAGTGCCACCTCCTGCCCTGCTCCACCAGCACTCACTGGGCACTGGGAGCTCTGGGAGGCAGCACTGTAAGGGCTCTCCCTGTTGGGTCGCAGGGCTGTGGTTGTGTACATGGGGCTGTTTGGTCCAGAGCATCTGCTCCATCCCTCACCCACTTTCTGAGCTGCTTTTGCTTTTAAGCCACAGTTTGGTTCATGGCAGTGAACAGTGAGCTCTCCAGATGTGCTGGAGAGCTCATTCCATCATGC